GTTCGTGGGTACCAAGATACTTTAGAGTGCTACAGTGAGCTCACAGGGGCACTGTGGAATGTTTAGAAGTTCTGAGGGGAACACAGGAACACTCCACCTTTATGAACACATATCAACTACTAGCTGGAGTGAGTTCACAAATGGCATGACGTTCCTCTCAATTCCTTTGCATCTTTGCAAAGCTCGATTTTTAGTGGCCACTATGATAAAAAGCAAGAACTACATAAAAATCGATGTGGAACAGAAAACGAAGGTGGTAGTGTTCAATCTGCTACTGAGGCTTGAGAAGTTGTACAAACCTAACCCGTGCACACAGCCCATTAGTAAGGAACTGTTATAAGAATAAAATAAAAGTGTTATTTTCCTTCAATTTATGTCCGTTATGTTTTCAAATGCCATTAAGTTGTTAGGACATATAAATACTTAGGAAGAGGTTTGGACCTAACTGTTTGCTAAATGCAACCTTTGATCTGAGGTGCTGTAACATTTTATAGAGACACTAGGGGTGCCAGGAATTGAGAAAGTTTGGGAACCTCTACACCAGTGATTTTCAACCGGTGTGCCACAGCACACTAGTGTGCCATGAGAGGATCTTAGGCATGCTGCAAACATTTTTAAAGATCATTAATTAAATTACTTTTGAAAGAAGTTCAAAGCATAGTAAGCATGTCCTTTTCTTAATTTTTTTTTTTTTTGATCAACGTAATTTAAGTGTACTGTGGAAGTTTAAGTATAGGTTCAAGTCTGCTGTGAGATAAAAAAGGGTTGAAAAACACTGCTCTACACTAATCCATGAATGGCTTTGGGTGCTCAATTACACCTTCAAACTGAAAACAACCTAGATGCTAATGATAAGAGATGGTTCCCTAAGCTATGAGACAGTCACTCGAGGTATAGTCTATAGTCTTAAAAAATTATCACATGGACTGTCTCAAAAGAAAATTAGTATATGGAAGACAATTCTTGAAATAGTAAGTAAAAATAAGCTACATACATTTGGATTCTGTGATGGTAAAAACATAAAAATATATATGACTGTGGTTTCTGGGAATGGATCCTAGAGCAGAAAAAGGTCATTAGTAAAAAATCAGGTGAAGTCGAAATAAAACCTGTACTTTAGTGAATAGTAATGTGCCAACAGTAATTCTTAATATTGACAAATATTCCAGGACTGTGTAAAATGCTAACAGTTGGCAAGGCTATGCAAAAGGTATCATTAACTCTCCATACCATTTTAAATCTAAACCAGTTCTAAATCTGAAGTTTTAGTAGATAAGGAAAATCCAAAATTATTTCAGAACAAAAAGTTTACTTAAAATAAGAACCCTCATAATGCATCAAAAGTGCCATCAAAAGTGTGGTGGCTCACGCTTACAATCCTAGCATTCTGGGAGGCTTAGGCAGGTGGATTGCTTGAGCTCAGAAGTTTCAGATCAGCCTTAGCTAGAGTGAGACCCCATCTCTCCTAAAAATAGAAAAACTACCCAAGCATTGTGGCTACTGGGAAGCTACTGGGAGGCTAAGGCAAGAGGATTGCTCAAGCCCAGGAGTATGAGGTTGCTGTGAGCTATGATGCCACAACAGTCTACCCAGGGCAACAGAATGAGACTCTGTATCAAAAAAAAAAAAAAAAAAAGTGACATCACAGGTGGCCTTTTTCTTCTTTTGTTTTTTCTAAAACCTTCTTTCATTTTTTAAAAATTTATTTACAATAGAGTCAACAGTAGCAATAGCTTTCACTTATGGGGCCCCTTGGGTGAGCCATATGGTGCAACTTACCCATGTTGTCTCTTTTAATCCTTTGGGCCTCCCTGGGAGAGAAATGGTGTTAGCAACATTTTATCTCTAAAGAGGCCCAGAGATGTAAAGTCATTTGGACAGGGTCACACAGCTCCTGAGTGGCAGAGCTGGGATCAGAATTCACATTGGTCTGGTTTCAAAGGCTGTCTCTTTCCCATGTTTTTCCTATACACATCAACCCTCTGAAGCAGATGCTGCTACCCCATTTCACAGATAAAGAAGTGTGTGTTTACAGAGAGTGGAAGTGTCTTGTCCATTGGCACAGCTGGTCAGTGGCAGGGCCAGGCTTTGACCCTGAGCTTATTTCAATACCCATGATTCCTTTTCCAGATGCATGAGAAAAACATTTTTAGCATTACAAAATACCAACTTATCCTTTTGAGAATAGTCAAATAGTCAGAAGTGAGAAGAACCTTTTTCATCCCCTTCACCATGAATCAATTTCAGCAACTATCCATCCCTCCTGGAACGGGGCCATGCAGAACCTGCACCCACAAGATACCCTAGTCATACAGGTACCATTAAAGAATTTGATGATATCTGTGAAATCCATGTTGTTTTCCAAAATGATGTCTCGGTAGACTTCCACCAGAGCCAGTGCGATGAAGAGGACATAATGGGCGGATGAGACATGTTTGGCTGCCCAGATAGTCTCCCAGACAGAGAAGACATCATCGTAAATGAGTTCTATGGAAACACAACACACACATGCATGGAGAGAGAGTCAGCAACAGGGCTCATGGTGCTGCCCCCCATTGTGAAAATCATTCTGGGAAAATCCCAGGCCAGCTGTGATTTGTGCTTCTGTGCTGGTGCAGTGGATTGAGCTCAGGCGAGGAGACAAGAGACCTGGACTCTGTCATTTGACAGAAGCCTCAGGTTTACCCATCTGTAGAATGGGTTGTGTAAAGCAGGTGGGTTCTAAGTTTCTTCCAGCTCTGACATTCTGTGAGCAGAGGAACTGGGCATGTCCAGATTTGATTTACACAGACCTGTCCCTGCCCTGCCCTTTGACCAGAGTTCACCACTAATCTGCACCTCCATCTCCATTAGCACCTATGGAAGTGTCTCCAAACCTCGTCTTCCAAGCACATAGGCAGAGCTGGTACTGCCTCTGATTCTAGTAAAGAGACAGAACAGAGCGGTGGTTAAAATCAAGGCTTCCTATGTCTAAGGCGACCAGATGTCCCGCTTTCGGAGGGACAGTCCCGATTCTTAACAATTTGTCCCGCCTCCTGTGGCGTTTAAAAAAAGTCCCAATTTTTGGAAAGAATGAATGACAATCTAGGGACGGGGTGGGACAATGGGAAGGAATATATGGTTTTTGGCTGCTGATAAGGTTAATGTAACTCCATTTGGGAATGAAGAGGTTAATGTAACTTCATTTCGAAATGAAAAGGCTAATATAAACTTCCTACTCCCCTCCTGGGCTCGGTATCAGAAGGAGACTGGCTCCTTCCCTTGCTTCTAGGCAAGGACAATTAGCTCAGAAGAAGCTGAACTGTCTGGAACAAACAAGTAGCGCCCCCCTCTCTAGAGTAAGGTGACCAGCAGGACAGTCCCGATTTTTAACAATTTGTCCTGCATCCTACAGTGTTTTTAAAAAGCCCCGATTTTTGGAAAGAATGCACGACAAGCTAGGGAACATGGGAGAACAGGGAGGGAATATACGGTTTTCGGCTGCCATGTGGCTATTTCACCAGGATATGTCTTTTATATTATTTTTGTTAATTTTATAATGTTAAACTTTAATAATAACAAATAATTGTTGAGAACTGATTATCAAGAATTGCTTATCAAAGTTTGCATTGTTGTCAGCCCCCCACCCCCACCCCTGCAATGGTGTCCCACTTTACCAATGTCAAAATCTGGTCACCTTACCCATGTCCAGTAAACTCATGTGAATCCTTCCTCTAGTACTCACTAGCAAGGGAACCTCAGGCTAGTTACTTCTCTATTTCCCTCTTTCTTTCCTCATCTGTAAGGTGAGTGAAACTGACAGTAGAAGAGAACCAAAGGGATAATACATATAAATGGCTAAGCACAGTGCATGGCACTTAACAAACACTTCCATATATATTAGATGTTATTATTATTACCTTCCCCTAAATTTGCACAATGGCAACAGCGTGCTGTGTATTATATGCATCACTTCCAAGTTATGTTTGAAATGCGTATAAAATAACCCCTGCCCAGTAGGCTTTATAAGTCTTGGTCTCTCATAAGCATCATTACAGAATGGAAGAGAATAAGGCTTTGGGAGTGGACAAAGGTGTATTCAGACCCTGGCTCTCCTAGTCCTAGTTCTGAATGTCATTCTTCTCAGCAGCACTTTCTCCATTGGTCAAATTAGGATTTTTTTTTTTTTTTTAAATTTCAGATTAATATGAGGGTGCAGATGATTAGGTTACAATGTTTGTGTTGCTGGGTAAGGTCCCTGTTGTAGTTGTGTCCTGCGCCCAGGAGGTGGGCCATATACCTTACATTGTGCCCACTGGGTGGGAGCACACTGGTCTCCCTCCCTCTCTCTTCTTCCCCTGCTCCTCCTTTCTCCCCCAGCTTGAATTGAGGTTTTCTCTTGTGTGGGCATGTATTTGTTCATCCACAGTCTTCATATTAGTATTGCGTATACTGGATTCTTGCTCCTCCACTCTTGTTATATTTTACCAAGAAGAATGTATTTCAATTCCATCCAGGTTAATACAAAAGCTGTAAAGTCCCCACCTTCTTTTATGGGTAAATAGTATTCTGTGGTGTACACAGTTTGTTAACCCATTCACAGTCAAATTGGGATCTTAACAGCACCTACTGCAGAGTGAACAGATTGTCAGAGCTCCATAAACGTGTGCCACTTTCCTCTGCTGCCTTTGCCCCAGCACCCTTCAGCCCCACCTCTACAGTGTCCTTTCCCCTCCAGTTCTGCTATAAACTGTCTGGAAATAAAACATCCAGTGTACCTCGCTTAAAATCCAGCAGGAACCAGCGATAGCAGAAGTAAAAGTGAGTGTAGTCCCCGTTCTGATGCATCAGCTCAAATAGCTCTGAGTCCAGGATCTGTTGGAAGAAGGAAAGGGCAGCATGAGCCACTTGGGAAAAAAGGTTGGAGCAGAGGGGACAGCTGAATAAATAGTGGCACATCCGCACAACATATACCAGTGGGGTTAAAAAAATGGGCAAAGGATCTGAGCAGACATTTCTCCAAAGAAGACTAATAAATGGCCAACAAGCACACCAAAGATACTTACATCGTTAGTCATTCGGGAAATACAAATCAAAACCACAACAACATACCCACTTCGTACTCATAAGCATGGTTAAAATCAAAATGATACACAGTAACAGGTGTTGGCAGAGAAACTGGAACCTTATGCACTGCTCCTGGGAATGCAAAACGGTGCACCTGCTGTGGAAAACAGCCTGGCAGCGCCTCAGAAAGTTAAACATGGAATTTCTATGTGACTCAATGATTACACTCCTAGGTATAGCCCCAAGAGAAATAAAAACATAGATTCACATAAAATTTGTAAATGAATAAACGTGTGTAGCAGCATCATTTATAATAGCCAAAAATGGAAGCAATTTGAGTGTCTATCAACAGATGAATGGATAAACAAAAAGTGGTATATCCATATGATTTAATTCAATATGACCTGGTAATAAAAAGGAAAAAATTCTAATATATGCGACAATGTGGATGAACCTTGAAAACATTACACTAAATGAAAGAAGCCAGTCACAAAAGGCCATATATTGTGTGGTTCCATTTACATGAAATGTTTAGAAAAGGTAAATCTGTATAAGACAGAAAGTATAATTCATAGCTTTTATAAGAATGTCATAACCTAGTTATAGCCTTAGAATATGGGAAGGGGGTGGGAGAGGGGAGGCGAGGGGGGTGGATAGGAGGGGGAGGGTGATTGGTGGGGTCACCTCTATGGTTTATCTTATAAGGGTACAAGTAAATCTTTCTAAAAGCAGAGTATGAATGTTTTAACTTAATGACTAAGAGAATGACATGAAAGTTATGTTAACCAGTTTGATGAGAGTATTTCAAAATGCATATGAAAACAGCACACTGTACCCCATGATTGCATTAGTGTACATAGTTATGCTATAAGAAATAAAAAATTAAGAAAAAAAAAGAATTAAAAAAAAAAAGACAGAAAGTAGACAGTGGCTTCCAGGGGTTGGGGAGGGAGCGGAAACAGGTAGTGACTGCTAATGGGTAAAGAGTTTCTTTGGGGGGTAATGAAATGTTCTGAAATTGGTCATGGGTGCATAACTCTGTGAATATACTAAAAACACTGAATTGTACACTTTACAAGGATGAATTGTATGATATCTGATTTATATTTCAACAGAATTGCTTTTTTAAAAAAGGTCGTGGAAGAATGTCTCCAGCTATCAGATATGCTCTTAAGTGAAAAAATAAAAACAGCAGGTTCACTAGGCCATTATCTTCCAGTGTTTCTCCTATGCTTTCTTTGAGGATTTTTATCATTTCATGCTTTAAATTTAAGTCCTTTATCCATCTTGAATCAATTTTTGTGAGTGGGGAAAGTGTGGGTCCAGTTTCAGTCTTTTACATGTGGATATCCAGTTCTCCCAGCACCATTTATTGAATAGGGAGTCTTGACCCCAGTGTACATTCATATTTGGTTTATTGAAGATTAGGTGGTTGTAAGTTGTTGGTTTCATTTCTTGGTTTTCTATTTGATTCCAAATGTCTGTGTCTATTTTTGTGCCAGTATCATGCTACCTTGACCACTATGGCCTTGTAATACAGCCTAAAATCTGGTATGGTGGTGCCCCTGGCTTTGTTTTTATTACTAAAGAACAGCCTTAGCTACATAGGATTTTTTCCTGGTTCCATACAAAATGCAGAATCATTTTTTCCAAGTCTTGAAAACAGGATGTTGGTATTTTAATAGGGATGGCGTTGAATCGGTAGCTTGCTCTGGGAAGTATAGACATTTTTTTTTTTAATTAAAAATTTTTTTTTTTGGCCAGGGCTAGGTTTGAACCTGCCATCTCTGGCACATGGGGCCAGCGCTCTACCCTTCTGAGTCACAGGCACTGCCCAGAAGTACAGACATTTTAACAATGTTGATTCTTCCCAGCCATGAGCATGGAATGTTCTTCTATTTGTTAATATCCTCTGCTATTTCCTTTCTTAGGATTTCATAATTTTCTTTATAGAGGTCCTTCACCTCTTTTGTTAGGTATATTCCTAGATATTTCATTTTCTTTGACGCTATGGTGAAGGGAATTATGTCCTTAATTAGCCTCTCATCTTGACTGTTACTGCTGCATACAAGGCTACTGACTTGTGGACATTGATTTTATATCCTGAGACATTACTGAATTTTTTGATGACTTGCAGGAGTCTTGTGATTGAGTCTTTGCGGTTCTCTAAGTATAAGATCATATTGTCAGCAAAGAGGGAGAGTTTGACCTCCTTTGCTCCCATTTGGATGCCCTTTATTTCCTTGTCTTGCCTAATACAATTAGGCAAGAACTTCCATCACTATGTTGAATAGTAATGGTGACAGAGGACAACCTTGTCTGGTTCCAGGTCAGAGAGGAAAAGCTTTCAGTTTTACTCTATTCAGTAAAATATTTGCTGTGGGTTTATCATAGATAGTTTCGATCAGTTTAAGAAATGTGCCACCTATGCCTATACTCTTCAGTGTGCTAATTAGAAAAGGATGCTGGATTTTATCAAACGCTTTTTCTGCATCTATTGAGAAGATCATGTGGTCTTTGTTTTTGCTTCTATTGATATGAATAAGGTTTATGGACTTGAGTATGTTAAACCAGCCTTGTATCTCTTGGATGAAACCTACTTGATCGTAATGTGGACTTTTTTGATGAGAAGCTGTAATCTACTGGGTAGGATTTTGTTGAGTGAGAATTTTTGCATCTATATTCATTAGTGAAATTGGTCCGAAATTCTCCTTTTTAGCTGAGTCTTTTCCTGGTCTTGGTATCAGGGTGATGTTTGCTTCGTAGAACGTGTTGAGGAAGATTCCTTCCTCCTCTATGTTTTGGAATAATTTTTGTAGTATGGGAATAAGCTCTTCTTTGAAGGTTTGATAGAATTCTGGTGTGAAGCCATCTGGACCAGGGCATTTTTTGGTTGGAGTTTTTTTTATTGTTTCTTTGATCTCAGTGCTTGAAATTAGTCTGTTCAGGAGCTCTAGTTCTTCCTGGCTAAGTCTAGGGAGAGGGTGTGATTCAAATATTGATCCATTTCCTTCACATTGTCAAATTTCTGGACCTAGAGTTTCTGGTAGCATTCAGAGATGATCTCTTGGATCTCTGTGGCATCAGTTGTTATTTCCCCTTTATCATTTCTGATTGAGTTTACTAGAGATTTTACATTGTTTGGCAGGCCCAAGCCAGATTTGAACCCACCAGCTCTAGTGTACATGGCTGGCACCTTAGCCGCTTGACCTACAGACACCGAGCCAAGAAAGAAACACTTTTACACTACTGGTGGGACTGCAAACTAATACAACTTTTTTGGAAGGAAGTATGGTGAAACCTCAAAGAACTCAACCTACACCTCCCGTTTGATCCTGCAATACCATTACTGGGCATCTATCCGGAAGGAAAATAAAAAACTTATATTATAAAGACACTTGTACTAGGCTGTTTATTGCAGCCCAATTTACAATCAACAAAATGTGGAAACAGCCTAAATGCCCCTCAACCCAGGAATGGATGGCCAAGCTGTGGTATATGTATACCATGGAATACTATTCAGCCATTAAAAGAAATGGAGATTTTGCAGCATTTGTATTAACCTGGATGGAGGTGGAACACATTATTCTTAGTGAAGCATCACAGGAATGGAGAAGCATGAATCCTATGTACTCAATTTTGATATGAGGACAATTAATGACAATTAATGACATGGTGAGGGTGGGGTAAGGGGAGAGCAGACAGAGAAGGAGGGAGGGGGTGAGGGAAAGGCAAAAAAAAAAAAAAGAGAGAGAAAAGAAAAGAAAATAGTACTAATTTTGACCAAAGTACATTATTTGAACAATAATTTTTAATTCAATTTGTTAATATGTTGTTTAGGATATTGCATATTTCACTCATTTATAAGTGAAATATGTTTGTAATTTCCCTTTATAATAATATATTTTTCCAATTTTAATATCAGGTATATGCAGATAGAATGATTTTGAAGTATTTCTTCTTTTTCTATTGTCTATATGATTTGGCATGATCTGTTTTTTGAAATTATCTTCTATTTTTATTTATAAAAATAAATATTCTCTACTTTTGAGACTTTGGAAAAAAAACAAAGACAATAACTGATTACTCCATACTGAACCTCTGAGTCAAAGCATTCTATGATAGACATACTTTTATCTGACAATGTGAATGTTACTTTTTTTGCATAATTATTATTATTGCTCAATATTTCGTTGTAGCAATCATCTGATTTCTTTTCTGAATGTATTTATCTTCGTTCATTATGAGGTTTTTGTTTCTAGTCCTTATCTTAAATATTGTCATTGTTGTTAAATTTTAAGCCTCTTTAATTTTGTGAAGCAAAAAGTGGAAACCAAATAAACACACGTACATGTATAGAGAAAATAAAAAAAAATAGCAGGTGCAAAATAGTATACATAAAAGTAAGGGTAAAATATGTGGAGTATGATTCTAATTATGAAAAAAATAGCCATATAAAATGGCAAAACATATAAACAGGTAATTCATCAGAAGAATAATCCAAATAAACAAAAAAAGAAAAAAGAAAAGATATTCATCCCTCTGTTAATAAAGAAAAACACAAATTAACATCCCAACAGGATGTTCTAATCACACCCAAGATACTGGTGAAAATTAAGATGTGTGACAATATTAAGTGATGATGGATTGTGTCAAAAACCCTTACAACACTGCTCTTGAGCATAGAAACTGGTACAATCACTTTGGAGGGTGACTGAACCGTGTCTGCTGAACACGCATACACTCTCTCTGATCCAGCAATTCCACTCCAGGTACATGCCCAAGCAACACGCTTGCATGCATTCATAGAGAAATGCACACAAGAATTTCAGTGCAGCACTGTTTATAAAGACCAAAAACAAAACCCCCAAAATTGCCCAAAACAAAAACAAAACAAAACAAAATGGAAACAACCTGCATGATCACCAACAGGACAGTGGATTCAAATAAAATGTGATATAAAGTGTTACACTCTTGAAGTGGATGACTGTACTTCCAGGAATTAATTGCACTGTTGGGAGTGAATATCACAAACCTGTTACTGAGTATAAAAACAAGTTGCAGAAGAATTTATACCATTTACAACTATTTATGTAAGTAGGGGAACTTGAGAAACAATATGTAGTATTAGATGTTATTTAGGAATATATGTGTATGTTGTAAAAGAATTTTAAAAAATGCATTTTAATGATAAATGTTACGTTCTAGAAAATGCTTACTCCTAGGACAACAAGAGTAGAGGAATGCCTACATGAAAGCTGAGAAATAAATCTGTAGTTAATGTTCTATTTCTTGGGCAGGTAGAGGTGGAAACATGGGTATTCATTATATTACTCTTTCTACTTTTCTCAGGTAGAAAGGATTTTGTAACTTTTTTTTTAAAAAACTCTACCAAGGAAGCTTTCAGAGCTAATGTGATTAAGGCTGTAGCTCCATTGCTTGTTCATAGATCATTATGGGTCCCTATCATTTACTTGGGTTAATACACTTCCATTCCTTCCACTCACAGGGCTGAATGTCTCAATTCATCAGGGGAGCAGCTACACTAATCTCTATAGATGGTAAAGTGCTAGCATTTATTACAACACTTCTCAAACTTGAGCTTGCATCAGAATCACTTATGGAGCCTCAAATGGCATGGATTCCTTGGCCCAACTCTCAGAAATTCTAATTCAGTGGGAGAAACTCCCTAGTAATTTGCATTTCTAAAAGTTCTAAGGTGAGGCTGATAATGCTGGCTCATACAGGGGTCCTCAAACTTTTTAAACAGGGGGCTAGTTCACTGTCCCTCAGACCATTGGAGGGCCGGACTGAGGGCCTTGGGACAAGTTGGCTGCTAAGCAGGACAGGCAGTGGCAGCAAAAACATCCGGCGGGCCAGATAAATGTCTTAGGTGGGCTGCATGTAGCCCGCAGGCCATAGTTTAAGGATGCCGTCACTAGACTCTGAGAGGCATTGTCAAGCTCTATAAATGCATTAGTTTGTTTCATTTCCCTTGTAGCTATAAAAATTTATTAGGGATAACATAAATAAAAGAATAAGCCATTTTTACAGATGAGGACACTGAGGCTCAGGGAGATAAAAGCCTATGAGGCTAGACAGCTAGTTGGTAGCAGAAATAGCACTCAAACCAATTTGGCTCACTCTTAAGCCACTAAGATACATTTACTGTTTCTCCAAAAAAGTCCAAACAGGACTAGATACTGGATCATACCTGGATCAGTGACCTCATGTTTGCAAAGTGCGTGTCCATGGCACCTCCGTGGGGGAAGTTCTGGTTCATCCTTTTCATGAGCTCTGTGAAGCAGCTGAAGGCGAGGGCTTCTGAGGAAGCAGCACAGGACAAACAATCAGCTGTATCATTAGCCATGGGACAGGGCTTCCCAAAGTGATGGTCTAAGGCCCAGAGCTGGTTCAAAGTCCACAGTCAAATACATAATATGGACAATGCAGAACCAAGAGTATTCCAATTCAAGGGATGTTTTCCAATATCGAATTCATTATATATTTCTCACCCTTCAGGTACTGAAACATCTTCTTTTAGGAGATGATGGTTAATAGCAGATGCTCTTGTTAAGAAGATCCTTATTTGCTACAGTGAAAAACTGATAATGTTTTGTCAGGAAACAAAAACTTTTTTTTCCTCTTTTGAAATTCTATTGGTTCCTAAAATTCTCAAGTCTGGGAACCATTGTAGTTGCACAGCAACTGTCAATACTGGAAGAGTTTTTATAGATGATAAGCAAAGAAAGGGCCAGATAACTTTGTGAAATGCTTAGAATATCTACTGCATTAGGAATCACTACATGTCTCTACTAAGTGAAGGTTGCTTACTAGAGCAATTGCAGACAAGTCCTGCAATTTGTATTGTTTAACTCAGTGTTTCAAAAACTTATTTGATAATGGTATTTTATCTTCTCTTAGCAATTGATAACTTTGGGGAAAGCTACACTAGTCTGAAGGGTTCTCAAGGAAAGTAGGATGTCATTTATTTTTTAGAAGACGTTTTTTAAGATAGTTTAAATTTATAAATAATTGAGAAGATAGTAGAGAGTTCTTACATTCTTCACATTCAGTTTTCTCTATTATTAGCATCTTAACGTTAGCATGACACATTTCTTACACTTAATAAACCAAAGTTGATGCCATTATTAACTAAAGTCTGTATTCAGATTTCCTTAGTTTTTATTGAATGTGCTTTTTGATCCCACCCCAGATAGCACATATGTCTCCTCTTGGCTGTGGCAGTTTTTCAGGCTTTTCTTTTTTTTTTTTTTTTTTTTGAGACAGAGCCTCAAGCTGTCCCCCTGGGTAGAGTGCCATGGCATCACAGCTCACAGCAACCTCCAATTCCTGGGCTCAAGCGAGTCTCTTGCCTCCGCCTCCCAAGTAGCTGGGACCACAGGCGCCTGCCACAACGCCCAGCTATTTTTTTGGTTGCAGCCATCATTGTTGTTTGACAGGTCCGGGCTGGGGATTTGAACCTGCCACCTTAGGTGTACGTGGCTGGCGCCTTAGCCGGTTGAGCTATAGGCGCCGAGCCGAGGCTTTTCTTGTTTTTGATGACCTTGACAGCTTGTGGGAGTACCAATCAGGTATTTCTGTAGGATCTTCCACCATGAGTAATGGAATTTGCCTAATGTTTCTCTCACAATAAGAAAGGGTTATAGGTTATTGGACAGCAGATCATGGAGGTAAAGTACCATTTTAATTGTATCATATCAAAGGCATATACTCTCAATGCGATTTAAGATTGATGTTGACCTTGTTCACCTGGCTGAGATAGTGTTTGTCAGATTTTAGAGCTTTAATGTTTCTCCCTGACCCGTATGTCCTACCATTCCCACCATATTGGACTTTTTGGAAGGAAATCACCATGTGCAGCCTGTGGCTAAAGAGTGGGGTTGTGCTCTCCATTTTTGAACAGTCTTAGTGGTTTTAATACATTCACAATGATGTGTGAATTCACCACCATCTAGTTCCAGAACATTTCTTCACTCCACAGGGAAACCCTGTGCCCATGAAGCAGCCACTCCCCAATTCCCTGTCCACCCAGACCCTATCAGTCACTAGTCTACCTTCAGTCTCTGGCTTTGCCTTTTTCGGACATTTCATATAAATGGAGTCATACACATGTCTATCAGTGGAACAAAAATGACAGTCCAGAAATAAGCCCTTTCACTGATGGTGAATTGATTTTGCCAATGATGCCAAGACACAATTCAACTTGATTTGCATTTTCCTACTGATTAATGATGTTGGCCATGCTTTAATGTGCTTATTGGACATTTTCTATATCTTTGATTCTATTGAGAAATGTCTAGTAAAATCCTTTTAATTTTAAATTATCTTTTTTATTATTGAATTGTAAGAGTTCTTTGTATATTTTGGATGGAAGTCCCTTATCATCACATATTTGACCTGCAATTTTTTTTTTCCACTCTTTCAGTTCTCTCTGTTTTCTTGATAGTGTCCTAGAATATAAAATTTTTAAATTTTGATGAAGTCCAATTGCCTAATCTTTCTTTTGTCATTTATGCTTTTGGTGTCACATCTAAGAAGCCACATCACAAAGATTTACTCTGTGTTTTCTTCTGAGAGTTTTACAATTTTAGTTCTTATATTTAGATCTATGATCTGTTTTGAATTAGTTTTTTGTCCATGGTGTGAGGTAAGGGTTCAACTTCAATCTTTTGCATATAGGTATCCAGTTGTTCTAGTACTGTGTGTTGAAAAGACTATTTTTTCCTCATTGAGTTGAATTTCTGTATCAATTTTAGGGTTAGCTTATCAATTTTTGCAAAAAAGGCAGCAAATTTTTGATAGCGATTATACTGAATCTATAGATCAATTTGGAAAGCATTGCTACCTTAACAATACTAATCCTTCAAGTCCATGAAGATGAGATGATGAGGTTTTTAAAAATTTATTTTATCAAAGTCTTGTAGTTTTCAATGTACAAATATTACAGTTCTATTAAATTTATTCATAAATATTTTATTCTTATAGATGCTACTACAAATGGAATTGTTTCCCTAATTTCATTCTGGGATTGTTCAGGCATATAGAAGTACAATAGGCTTTTATTTATTGATCTTGTATTGTATCCTGTAACCTTGCTGAACTTATTAGTTCTATTTTTTTCTTTTATTCCTTAGGATTTTCTATATTCAAAATCATGTCATACATGAATAGAGATAGCTTAATTTCTCTTCCAATCTGGATGGCTTGTATTTTTCTTCCTTAATTGCCCTGTAAAACTTGTAGTGGCAAATTAGACATCCTATCTTGTTCCTGACCCCAGGGGGAACATGCTCAAATCTTTCATTATTTAATATGATGCTATTTGTGGGTTTTCCTAGGTACTCTTTATCATGTTGAGTAAGGTGAGTAAGTTCCTTTCCATTCCTAATTTGTTGAGTGTTTTTCTTTTGTTTTCTTTTTTTTTTTTGTGGGGGAGACAAGAGTCTCACTTTGTTGCCCTGGGTCCAGTGCTTTGGTGTCATAGCTCACAGCAACCTTAAAGGGGTTGGGCTCAAGTGATTCTCATGCCTCAGCCTCCTTGGTAGCTGGGACTACAGGAGTCCCCACATGCCTAGCTATTTTTTTTTTTTTCACAGATGAGGTCTCGCTCTGGCTCAGGCTGGTCTTGAACCTGTGAGCTCAGGCAATCCACCCCCTTCGGCCTCCCAGAGTACTGGGATTACAGGCATGAAACACTGTGCCTGGCCCTGCTGAGTATTTTTTTTTTTTAAATCATAAAAAGGTATTGGATGTTGTCATGTTTTTCTGTGTCAACTGAGATAGTTGTGTGTTTTTTGCCCTTTAATCAATTAATGTAGTGAATTACAATGATTTCTTTTTGCATGTCAAATCTTTCTTGCATTCCTGGAATAAACCACACTTGGTTTTGGTTTATAGTCCATTTTGTATCTTGTTGGAATGAGTCCATTGATATTTTGATGAGGATTTTTGCATTTATATTCATAAATAATATTGTTATATAGTTATCGTATAATGTCTTTGTCTGGTATTGGGTGTCAGGGTACCAATCCGGTACCCAGTACTCATATGGGGACTGGCCTCAGAATGAGTTGGGAAGAGTTCCTTCCTTGTGTATGTTTTTAAAAGAGCTTCTACATAATTGGTGGTAATTCTTTAAATGTTTGGTAGTAAAGCCATCTGGGCTTCACTGTTTTGTTTTGTTTTTTTAAATTCTTATTGATATAGTCAGTGGCTAGCAAAGGCCAGGCTGTGTATTAAGTATTGGGCATCACGGGACATGGGAATTTTACTTCACCAGAATCTTGATGTGTTCTCCACACAGGTCTTCTGAGCACCTGTCCTGACCCATTCCATGGAGTCACGAAGTAAGTTTAACCTCCCTGCCCTGCAGTGGGAAGGAAACTGTATCCCCCAGACCTGGGACAGGGAAGACACACTCACCATCATCCAGAATGACCAGCAGTGGAGCCAGAAGGTCACACATGCCCTGGACATAGCCGATTTCAATGTGCTGCCAGATGTAGCTATGAGAGATGTGAGGGCCCAATCAATGATGGCATGCACAACCCGCCTCTGTAGGCCATTCTTCCCTGCCCTCCTCCCCCGTTTGGTCTCCTACCCTTCACTTAGACCACTCCCTCAGCATCCTTACTACATCCTCATCCCCAGTCCTACTCTTTCTAAACATCCTACGAGCAGTCACCAGAATGACCTTCCTGAAATCCAGCTCCAGGAGGCCTTTGTATGTTCAAAAACCTTCACAAGCTCCCCACTGTCTGATGGGATGATGTATAAACTCCTTTACTGGGGGTATAAAGCATTTATAACCTGTTCTCAATTCATGTCCACAGCTTACACATTACTTCTTAGTTGCTCTTCCCCTACAGCCACACTTCACCTTGTGCAGATAAATCACATTTATACCGTGGTGCCTTTGCCTTGCAGTCTCCTCTATCTGGAACTTTGATCTACCCTTTATTAATATAACAATAGTTTATACTTACTGAGCATTTTCTGTATACTCAGTCCACTATGCATGCATTGTACCATTTACTTTTCAAAATAATCACATGAAATAGTTACCATCATTACCCCATTTTGCAAATATACAATCGGTTAGATACTACTAAATGGTTAGTAGTCATTAATTCTGTGTGACTGGCATTGACTAGTGGAGATGAGGAGAAGTTTCTCTTTATATCTTATGAGCCTCCTATCTGCTTGACTTGCTTGAATTTTTTAATAAGCAGGGGTTACTTTTGTATTATTTTTTAAGGCAAGCATGATACAAAGTTTATTGAGGAAGAGAAAGAGAAGTTTATGGAGTAAGAAAGTTTACAAAGCAGGATATGTTTGCCACAAAAAGGCAAATGAGCCTCCATTGCCAGGGCAAATATGCAAAGAGGCTAACTTTTGTATTTTAGTAAATGCCAATAATAATTTTTTAAAGAATAGTACTTAAGCCTTAGATCTTGACTTAAAGAAAAAAAGAAAAGGAGGGCAGATTGTAGAGACAGAGAGATGTGGCTATGAGCTCACCCATAGCCCATAGTGCTCTGAGTAATGTAGTTCCTCTCTGAGCCTCCACATCCCCACTTATAAAAGGGGATAGGTTGAGGTTCAGTTGAGGAGTGATTAAGAAATGATCATAAAAGGCTCAGAACAGTGGCATACAGTAGGTGCTTAATAAATGCTCTATGTTGTTATTATTATTTGTCAGTGTGGGCTGAAATAAGATTCCAGGCGGGGATGATGCCAGCTTCAGGGGCTGAAATAAATTCTCCCTGGGCCCACAAAAGCCCTGATCTTGCCCAACCTCTCCCCCTTCCCGGTTCTTCCCTCCACCCCCACTACCTGCACATGATGTTGCGCAGCTTCTCCAAGTTGGCAGGTGTGAAGTACCAGTAGTTGCGGTCGCACCTCTGCACATCCTTCTCGATGCGATGCAGATTCACTGTGTATAAGTCTAGCAGCTCCGGCTACAGGGTCCCAAGAGGGGAAGAAATGAAAAATTATAACCAACTCCTCGCTAGGAGACAAAGAGCATCTCCCCTCCTCCTAACGCTCTCCTGGATCACTTGGGTGTTTGATTTCATTTGTTTTTAATTTTTTTTATTCCAATAAATTTGGGGGGTACAAATGGCTTTTGTTACATGGATGAAGTGTATGTGGTGGGAAGTCTGGGCTTTCAGTGTATCCATCACATGAATAGTTTGTTTTGAGGGCAAGTGTCTTTTACTCTATGGGATAAAATTCCTTCTCAAAGAGTCACAACTACAGAGAGTACACCACTCTCTGATGGAAATTGGATAAGGAGAATGGAAGAATGCACAGAACCCCAACTCTGGGCTTAATTTTGAAATTGTTCAATGATATGACAAGGAAATGGCAACATTTAAGGATCAAAACCTAATCTAGGAAGGTGAGATAACACCAAAATTGGCTTGCTCCCTGAGGGAAGATGCCAAACTGGAAAATTTAAGCGTAGATTTAATTAGTTTGTGTTCCCCAAACCCTCTGAGATGAGGAGTCTAATAAGAGGCCTTCCTGAAGAAAGGTAGGACCCCAAAGAATCACATCCTCAGTAAGGGATGACTAGAAAAACTATTAACACGTCCTGGGGTCTCAAAACAATGCCTTGATTGCCCTGAATGTATGTATAAATTAAGTGTAAGTGATCTCTCTGATGATTAAGAGCCGCAAGTCAGGTTTACAACTCATGCAAATTTATAACCCACATTTCCACTACCTGGATTGTCTAAAAGATCAGAGAATTTAGTTAAAAGTCATCTCATACTTGTATGCTTCTGGTACCAGGAAAAAACCCTCTATTGAGGAATCTGCTTTACACCTAGGCCTTAAATAGTGCAATAAACAGAATTTCAAGACATATGAGCTTGTGCTCAAAAATCACAAAACACCCCCAGAGAAAGAAAGGCATCATGAATAACAGTTAGCATAAATACCAGACAGCAGAATGAGACTCCTTCTTAGTTTTTAAATATATCAGGAATATAACACAAATATGTTTGCTGTATTTAAAGAAATAAGAGGTTAAAAATAAGAGGAAGAGACTATAAAAATAAGCAGTTTGTTTTATAGCACAATTTCAGAAAAGCCAAATAAAACTTTTAAAAGGCACATTAAATGTTCATTAGAGAGCGGTAACAGAAAATTAGATACTCTGAAGAGAGAATTAGTGAATTGAAAAGAGACCTGAAGAAAATATCTAGAATTCAGCACAGAACATTAAGAAAATGATAAAATGAAAGAGAAGTAATATCCATAGAGGGTAGTGTGAGAAGATCTAACAAACTTTTAATCAGAGCTATAGCTGGAAGGAGAACATGGGAAAGCAGCAACAACTGAGTAAATAATAGATGAGAATTTTCCACGAACTGTCTAAAGACACCAATTTGCAGATACATAAAACCCAACTAACCACTACAAAAAGAAATCCATACCGAGGCACACAATGGCACACAACCAAAAAGAGAATCCTAAACGTAGCCAGAAAGAGAGGAGATTATCTTTAAAGAAATGAAAATTAGATCTTTCAAGATCTTCTAAAGGAATGACAAGTAAACAACTGACTTATCCACAGGAACAAAGGAATCTACAAGACCATGGAACAATATCTTCAAAATATTGAGAGAAAATAACTACAATCTAGAGTTGCATATTCAGTGAAAACACCTTGCAAGAATAAGGTGAGGTGAATACTGCTCAAAGTGGAGAGTTACTCTGCCACAGCACATGCTGAAGAGCGCAGTTCATTCTGGGTTATCCCAGAACTAGAGGCCTGTGATGTAAGAAGAAATGAAAAGCTAAAAATGTGGATGCCACTGAGTCATGTGCCCCTAAACAAGGGAGAGAACCAAGAAAGAGGTAAACACGAGACACAGAAAATTAAAGAGAAGCAAAGCAAAGGGGACGTGAGATGAGGGTGGACGACACCCACAGATCGGCATGGAGGGTGGGACGAGGCCTGAAAGCTCTTGGGAATTCTTTGGATGTACCAAATAAATAAACCTAACATATCTGAATACTTGAGAAGAGATTTACAGAAAACTGGCAGATTTGGGGGGGATGAATTGATGATAAATACATAGAATACTCAGTAAAAACCTCCTTTCAGTTGACAACAATTGGCTTGGACTTTCTGGCAAGGAAGCAAATTTGAATATTCAAAAAACGCTGGACCTGAGTCTAAATCACAAAGCTCATCATCAAGGTTGCTGGTGATCAAGTGCTTACAATGTCCCAGGCACATGGGACTTCAACTTGTTAATTCTGAAAGCAACTTAGGAAGGAATAAGGAAACAGAGGCTCAGAAGGGATCAAGTGACTTGCCAAAGCTAGGATTTGAACCCAGGACTGTTTCCTGAAAAACCTGTGTTCTTTAAATATTATATCATCCTCCCTCCCAAACAGGTTTCTATGGTGAATCCTCTGTGATGGGGAAAATGCAAGGGCTCACTATTGGGTTGTTTTGGAAAAGGGTTTGTGGTACATCCCCTCCCTCCTACAGCTGGAGGTAAGAAAATGGAGTGGAGAGTCCTGGTGACTTACAGAGTAGGTGACGCCACTGGATGACACAGGGGACACCTCATTGTTGGCAGAAGTGGTCACGGCCAGAGAAGCCAGGGCAGGGAAGAGGCTTTCCATCTCAGGCTCCTCCGAGAGGTTGTCCTCACTGTCCACCTGGCTACGTTTCTCGCCCTCGCTGCCCCGCCAGCCCTCCATCACAGCATCCTTTTCAGGCAGGGCCACATCCATGCTGCCAGTGATGGACACGAACTCGTCCATGCTCTCGTTGGCAAGGAGGTCACTCTCCAGGCTGTCCTGCACAGCCAGCTCCTCACGAGCCTCGTCCTGGGAAGTGGTGGCCTCACTGCTCTGCCTGTCATCCATGCTGCTGTCCCTGGGTTGCAGCACTGGGGGGACATTCCGCTGGGCATCCAGGACACTGTCTTCTGTGCTCAGACTGGGCTCTGAGTGCTCTGAGAGGCCCGAGGAGAAGTTGTGGGAGGAGGGATGCCCAGAGTCTGGGGAACAAGTGCCGTTCACCAGGTTTCCATTTGGGATCTTGGGCTGTTTCCCTTCCAACCTGCCTTCAGTCTCCACCTGCTCCACCTCATCGACAGACTCAAACACCTAAGGACAAGGTGCACAGAGACAGATGGACTAGGATGCTCTGCTCACAGCAGCAACCTGAGTACCCAACAACAGGAATCAGTCCAAACATGCAACACACACCCCGTGGAATACCAGACAGCCAAGTGAAAAGAGTGGTAGAACAAGGCGGAATTCAGATTCCTGCTGTGATAAATAAAAAAGTGACCTTTGTGCTCATGTATGCATAGAATAAGCCAAAAGGAGACCTACGGCATTGAAATGGGGGCAGAACATATTTTTTCATCAGACAGACCTCTACCAGGTCACATAATCCTTTTAAAGGAAAAAATTAGTTAATATAAGGATCATTTTTAAAAAAAGAGTCTATTATAGCCATGTGGTTGATAATTATGGATCAATTTTAAAATATAGTTGGATATATGAGACACTATGAAGAAATTTCCAGAATACATTTTTTTTTTTTTAATTTTTGGCTGGGAGCTGGGTTTGAACCTGCCACCTCCAGCATAGGTGCCGCCCTCTCCAGGGTACATTTAAATATTTATTTGTGGTTCTTTATGTCCTCAGGTCATATCCCATCAAGTTTAGACTGTGTTCCAAAGTCACTTGAAATATTTCTTCTCTATTTGTTATCTCACCAACTTGATTTATGGTTAGTTTTGTGTATTTCTGTGCTTTTAAAAACTTCTTTTGGATTTAATTGGTTTAAGGTAAATAAAAAATTTTCCTAACTCCAGAGTCAAAACTAGAGCATTTAAATTCAAAGTCAAAATTAGAAAAAAGAAAAAGCATATTCAGGGAAATGTGGCTTCTTTCCCTGTCCCCTCTCCCCCGTGGTAATCATTTTGATTTATTTCTGGTTTATCTCTGCTGTTTTTGAAAACAGATGCAAAACTATACCTGTATTAATATTTCCTCTTTTTAAAAGAAAGGTGACATACTACACACATTTTTTGCACTTTCTTTTCTTCTTTGATATTGAGGGAGATCAAGCTATCTCTTTTCATTGAATGAAATGGAAAGTTCTTGAACACATTGGTGGCATTTATGTAGAATTAAAAAAAAAACTACCAAAGATTGCTATATTTGCTATAACATTGCTATATTATTTACAGCTTTCTGTGTATGTAAAGGCATACAGAAGGTCCTGAAAGGATACTCAGCAAAATGATGCTGGTGATGTTATTTCAATGGTGGGCAGCCAGTGATTAAAGATGATCAAAGTAAACTTTGACTTCCTCTGCAATGTTTTAATTTTTTACAGGGAGACTAGATTCATGTTACTTGAAAAAAAAATTGACTTTTAAAGCTAGTATAAAAAGCTTAAATAACCCAGAAAATGAACTGCTGATGATGGACATCCAATCCCCATCACCCTGGGTGGAAGGGAGGGACTTGGGCTGGCAGGGCCAGGCTGGTGGAAGGGGTGGGGCCTCTGAGCTGTCACCTGTGTACTGCTGCTGGAGTCACTGTGCAGGCGGATGTTCTGGTGGCCGGAGCTGCAGCTCTGGGAGGACTGAGAGAAGGAATAGGAGGGAGAGAGGGTGAGGCTGCATCCTGGTCCCACAGCAGGAGTGTCTGCTGGGCTGTGAGCCACAAGCCTGACTTCTTCTCTATCCTGACTGGCTCAAGTCTCCTCTCAGGGTCTCAGCTTCTTAGCTATAAAAAGAAAAGAGGGAACCACTCCCTGCTTCCTGGAGCTTCCCACCTCCACAACTGGAGAACCCACCATTAATTGCCTCTGTACTTGAGACGTCTACCAGATATTTCAGTTCAGAGTAACTGGCTGTATTTATGGCTCATTTTTGTTTACCTGCTCCCTGCATACATGCCTTCTGCCCTTGAATTTGGCAGTTTTTGCCTATTCTGATGCTATGCCTGGCCATGTGGCTTGCTTCAATCACAGGCATTAGTAAACTTAACTCAGTAGAGGCTTAAAACATGCTTGTGCATTTCTGGCTTATCTCTTCAGCATCTGCTCCTTGCTGGATGGATGATGAGGCCACTGGTGCACACAGCTGTGTCATCTCAGACAGACGAGAATGCCCAACTGAGATCAACAAACCTTTTAGTTGACCAGACACAGACAGCTGGTGCCAGAGTGAGCCCTACCCAGCCCAGCTTGGAGCAGAACCTCTCACCTGGTTCCACAGACTGGTGAGCAAAAATAAATGTCAATTGTTGGAAGTCACTGACCTTTGGTGGCTGTCTATTTTACAGCATTATCATGGCAATTGATAACTGGCAAACAGAATTAACCATTTTTTCTGAGCTCCTGCTTCAGGCTGTTAAACTGGAGGTTCTGGGAGGTCAATGGAACATTCTTGACATTCCAGGACATTCCTGACAGTAACTGGCACATAATAGGTAATCAATAAGCATTTGTTAAATCAATTAAAGCCAGTCCCAGCGCTAGGGACTTTATATAGCTTTTCTTGTTTGAGCTGTACACAAACCTCCTCTGTATACCTGATTATTCCCACTTTACAGATGCAGAAACTGAGGCCCAGAAGAAAAGGTGCTTGCAGGAGACCTCAGAGCTAGATAAGAGTGGAGTTAGAACCCAGGTCTAATTGCAGAGTCATTCCCCCCCAACCTCAAAAATAAAGCCATGGGTAATACTGTCTCAAGACCCCAGACACTCAGCCTAATAAAGCAAGTCTTGGCCTTCACCACCCCTCTTGTTTCCTGAAGCCACTGCTGTCACCTCATTGCTGATGGTGGAGTCTCTGTGCATCATCCGGTGCAGGTGGCTGTCTAGGCTGGCTCCAGAGGAGCATTTGGCCAGGGCTGCAGCATGTGACTCCCGCTCCCTCTGCCGCACGATTGCCTCGCAGCCCAGCCACTCGGCCATGGTCTGTGCGTAGCAGGCATGAATCTGCTCGTCCACCTGCCAGGGCAGATGCAAGGTCACTTGAAATGCTGAGGCCCCTGGAGGGAGTCAGCCTCACCTGAAGAGAGTGGCTCTGAACCATCCAACATTCATGCAATTAACAATTAGCAAATATTCGCTGAGCACCTATGATGTCACATGTAGCAACCTTTGTTGCTAGAGATCCTAGGGCTCACAGTGGGTCACCAACCTCCTTTCTTTCTGTTTCTGTCATCCCGAACTGGTAGTGGCCCAGGAGAAAGGGCCACACAGCCTTGCGGATCTCCGGCTGGATGCCCCCATAGTAAATGAGACGCAGCAACTCCTGCTGTTCGTAACTCTGTGAAGGGCAGGGTGGAAGCAGACTACGGTCATTGAAAGATCAGAAAGCGGCCCTGCTCCTCAGCTCAGCCCCCAGATATCCTGGTGTGAGCATGCAAAGCCGTGGGTAACTAGATATTCATCACAGCGTTGTATGAAAAACCCATCCCCCAGCAATTCTTCAACTGCCCACAAACGTAGGAACATGCACACCCACATGGGTACACTGCACCGGGATTTAAGAGGGGGGCACATCTATCAGGACCTACATAAAAAGATGCTCAATGTGTATCACTAAGGGGGGAAAAACAAGAGGCAGAACATGTCAACTATGAATCCATTTTTATAAAAAGAAAAAAGGGGCCGTATATAATGAATTAACCTTTCTAATTTTCAGTCAATTTTCTATACTATCTTAATGTGGAAGTATCTTGGAGTTATTAATTTTGGTTCAGCTCTAAGAAAACATTTCTAAAGAAAATTAATCCAAAACAAACATTTCCAGTTGCTGTCTCATATACTAATAATTTTTATACAAAAATAAGGTGACTTTAATAGCTGTCTGCTTGCCTTTTTTTTTTTTTTAATTCATTTTCAGGCAAAGGCTTTGCAGCTATAGTTAGCGAAGCTGAGGGACCAGCAGGTTCTAACCCGATGTGTGAGTGTGGGAAGCCCTGATGGTGCTGGAAGGCTGCTCCAGAGCCTCTGCTTTCCTCAGACCTCTTTGCTTCATGTTCCACCTATTTCACATCTTAACACTAATCTTAGATGTAAGCCAGAGCCCATGTCTGGACTCCATTTCCCAGCCTCCTTTGCAGTTAGGTCTGGCCACGTGACAGGTTCTGGCCATTGGGGTGTGCTCCTCTATCTCCCTTTTTTTTTTTTTTTTTTTTTTTGAGACGGAGCCTCAAGCTATCCCCCTGGGTAGAGTGCCATGGCATCACGCTCACAGCAACCTCCAACTCCTGGGCTCAAGCGAGTCTCCTGCCTCAGCCTCCCAAGTAGCTGGGACTACAGGCGCCCGCCACAACGCCTGGCCATTTTTTGGTTGCAGCCATCATTGTTGTTTGGCGGGCCCAGGCTGGGGATTGGAACCCGCCACCTTAGGTTTATGTGGCTGGCGCCTTAGCCGCTTGAGCCACAGGCGCCGAGCCCTATCTCCCTTTCTGACAGCTGGAGGCAGACGATCAGGAGGCCTTGGAAGATGATGGGACCACAAGATCACAGGACCCTGAACCTCTCAGAGGAGGGGAGGATGCCTACTCACCAGGAATACCCATCCCCAAAACTACTGAGTGTGCAAGAAATAAAACTTTATTGGTGTGCGGCAACTGAAATAGTGGGGATTGTTTGCTACTGGGCCCCAGTCTACACTTATATAGCAATGCAACTAACATGGTCAAATAGGCTGTGAAAGGTGTAGATGAAAAATATTCATTTTTAAATAAACAAATATTCATTTTTGACTAATTTGTTGTTTCAACTGATTTGTCCTTAGACTGGTGCTTCCCCTATGGGAAAAGATCATTTTTTATATATATATACATATATATTTTTTCATATTCTTGGGCTCTACTCCCAGAGATGCTAAATCAACAAAGCTGGAGCTGAGCCCAGAAATCTATCTCTTTTAAATCCCTTAGGAAATATGCACACTCAGAGACTGCTGTGGATTAGGAACATTATGACCTTTTGAGAATATGAGTGGGTATATATATTTAAATTTTAAATGCACATCAATCACTGTTACTTGTACAGAAAGGTATGTGCTTATAAAGACGTCAACTGCAACACAGTTTGAAATAATTTAGGGAGGATTTGAATAAATTATGGAGCATCCGTATGTGAAGTGCTAAGGTTCTAACATTCAATATTTCACCTAGAGATCTGAGAGATGTCCTTGATATAAATGTAAATTTGTCACTTAATATATAAATATCACTCACTTAAAAAATAGGCAATATAGATATTATGAAGATATGGCTTTGTATATACTTATATAGATATTATATTTATCTATTATATTTATATAATATTTATTTATATAGATATTATACTTCCATATGCACTGTATCTACACATAAATCTATAAAGATACAAAGATAAAAGGTAAAGACATAAAGATACATACTAAAGATATAAATCTAGATGAAACATATAGAGATATAGAGCATTGTATGTAGATTTGCATCTATAGATACAGATGAATAGAGATAAAGATATATAGAGATATTCCTATGAATAAACATAGGAAATATTCAGAAGTGTCTACACCAAACTGAGGATCAGAGGATCATTCATTCAAAGGATCCAAACTAGAGGGATGAACGTGAAAGACAGCATTTTAAATTTTATTTTAATTTTATACACCTGCATTCTTCATTCTTGGAATTGTTACAATAAGTAGGTATTACTCCTATAATTTTTAAAAAACCCAACTCTTTCTGGCAAAAAGAAAAATAATTTTTCTGTTTGCCCAGGTTTGGAATCTGATTTGTCTTTACCACTAAATCCAGTGGCATCCCAGAACAGAATAGCACCTTCCCTCAAGGTGTGGAAGTCAGCCTGGCCCAGGGGCTCACCAGCTTAGCCCTCCTCAGTCCTTGGGTGGGAAGGTGCACGGAAACTGGGCCACTAGACTGACTCAGTGTGAAGGAAACAGGTACCTCCTTCTAAAGTGGGTTCTACCTTCCTGCTAGGCATAGAAGGTACTTTTCTAATAAAGGTTTCGGTGGCTAAATACATTCAAGGGAATAGTCCACATCCTCTCTCTCATGCCCCCAATTTCTTAAGGGTGGCAAGGATATTTGCATAGCCAAGGCTCTGAGAAGTCCTGCAGAATACAGATAACGGTTTAACTTCATTTGCCAAACTATTTGTCTATGAAACTTTTTTAAACATCAACATTTCTCTTCCAGAAATATTTGTATTCTAATAAAAAAATCTTAGAAAGCATTCCAGGTGAACTATCTGGGCCCAAGACAGAGACGGGACAAAGACTTTAGAACAGTGGTGGAAGGGTTTTCTTGGTTTAGCTTCTTCCCTCTAACTTAGCTATTTTAGGTAGTTTGGACTAGGCTATAAATTCCTTCCTAGCTGGGGTCATGTCTCAGCATTTTGTACAGGGCTGAGCATACAGCTGATGCTTAAAAACAAATGCTTAGTGACCAATTCATTCTTTACTCCCAGGTGAGCATATATGTTTTCCATTCCCTCAATCTTTACCCTAGAGGAGCAAAAGTGAGCTGTGGGTCTTAAAACTATCAGGAAGAGGAAGGGAGTTTCAGTTTGTCTATGCAGAATACAAGCATGGCTACTTGAGCCCCCACAAGCAGGTGGAATTTTTTCTTAGGTAATAAGGTAACAAGATGACCTTCCCTGCAGCCTTGGCACCATTGCAGGCCAACCTCAGTTAAGCCTTACTGTGCTGTCCTGAAGGTACTGCTCCCAAATCCCGGCCGTCAGCCCCTGTCCAGCATCATAGGGCAAGTCTGGAGACACGATCATGTGATTGACCAGGGCTGACAGGTGGGTCCTCACCGTGGACAAGTGTCTGCAGTAGGCAAGCCCTGTCAGGGGAGGGAAGGAAAGTGTCATCATCTACCATCTGATACCACCTTGTCTCATGAAGTCTCCAGGGTCTGTCCTATTCCCCATCTTACTGAACTCCCATAATTCTCATCATCTCCTCGCCTTTTCCAGACAAGGAAGGTGAGGCCCACAGGGGGACTGTCACTCACTGACTTGACTGTTTATTAGCTCTGTTACCCTAGGGAAGTCTGATCTCCTTTCTTAGTCTTTGTCCAGGTGTGCCACTCTCCTCTGCTGGAAGCCAAAGCATTTAATTAATGGGCTGCAGTCAGAGAAGGGGCAGGAAGGAAGGGGGTCTGTGACTCCGCAGGCTCACTGTGGCTCTGTCTGTTTTCAGTCCATAGAAAGAAAGAGAATGTGAGATATGGTTGAATGCCATCCAAATTGCATCTGGGTGGGTATACATCTCAATGAAAGGAAATCAATGTATCAAAGAAGTATCTGCACTCCCACATATATCACAGCGCTATTCACAAAGCCAACATAGAGAATCAACCAAAGTGTCCACTAACAGATGAATGGATAAAGAAAATGTGGTACATATACACAATGGAATACTATTCAGCCATTAAAAAGGAATGGAATCCATCATTTGAAGCAACATGGATGGAACTGGCAATAAGCCAGGCACAAAAAGACAAATTCTTCATGTTTTCACTTATATGTGGGAGCGCCTCCTTGTAGAAGGAGAGAGTACAGTGGTGGTTGCCAGAGCCTGGGAAGACAAGTTGGTTCATGGGTATAAAAATATAGTTAGATAGAAGGAATAAGTTCTCAAATTTGATAGTACAGTAGAGAAATTACAGTTAACAAAAATTTACTGTATTTTTCAAAAGAGTGCAGAAGAGAAGAATTGCAATGTCCCAACACAAAAGATAAATGTTTAAGGTAAGGGATATCACAATTACCCAGACTTGGTCAATACACATTGCATACCTATAAAAATAACACAAGTGCCCCCAAATGTGTACAATTACAATCTATAAAACTGTTACAAAAAGACTCCCACTCAAATTGCAGGTGGATAAGAAAGAGCCCAGCAAGGAAGTAACTGGGGAAATGCTGAAGGAACTTAGTTTGCTTTCAGAGATGGCCCTGTCCCCTTAAAGGAATACCTGACAATGTGACACCCCTTGTCTGTTCCACTCTGATCCCCTGGAGGGGGCTGGGCAAAGTGCTTAGTACATGGGAAGGACTGAGCAAATGCCAGCCAGTGCTGTTGGCTCTGATCATGCCCCTTCCTTCTGTCCCTTTCTTCCCCATTCCCAGAGAGAATTCTGGACCTTCTGGAAACTGAGGACCCAGCTTGAAAAACTTCTTGATAATATTCACAGAGCATGCATGACATACCAAGGAACTGTCCTCAGACTTTGCAGAACATATTTAATGCTCACCACAACCCTATGAAGCAGGGACCATTATTATCTCCAGCTGAGGCATGGACTGGTTATGGCCCTTGCACAAGTCACTTTGCTGGAAAGTATGGAGTTGGGATTTGGAACCAGGACACCGGGCTCCATAACCTGGGCTCTCAACCACTGTGAGGGATGAGCCAGATTATCCAATGACATCCGTTCCAGAGCCATTTCAACCCCCACCCCTTCCTCCAGGAAGATCTTCAAATTGGGTACAAGAAATACTTGCCCAGTACCTGTTCCATGCTAAGCCAAGCACCGGGATGAGTAGCAAATGAATCGGCAAAACTCCATCCTAGCGGAGCTTTCGCTCTACCTGCCTTTGCAGGCACCTGGGCAAGTGACCTGCACTGCTATTTCATAGACCCATGTAAGTTGTATTAAGACTTTCCTAGAATTCCTAAAAATACACACATTTTATCTCTCCCATGGAAGCTGTGAAGCTGGGGTAAATAAAACATGATGAGAATCAATATAGCAGAGAAGAAAACAACAAAGCTTTTGGAGTCAGGCAGGCCAGGGTTTGAATCCCCAGCTCTGCTGCCTCATAGCTGTCACTATGCTGCTCTGTGCCTTGGTTTCCTCATCTTGTTAAATGAGAATAATCAGAATAGCTGTATTATGAAATTAAGTTTTAAAGTTTTAGGAAGAGATCAGACTACCTTACTCTTCTGCCTCTGCCCATAGGAGAAGGGAGCTGAAATTTATTGAGCACCCATGACATGCAATATTAGGTATTTGGGGCTTTATATGATACATGCTTCTCATTTAATCCTGAAAACAAACCCTCCAACGTGGGCCCTAGGGATGGAATGGTGATTAAACCAAGTTTCTGTTCCCCAGGTATTCCTCTGTTCGCTGCTCTCTCTTGGGATCCAGGGACACAATTTATCTCCAATCTGTAGATGAGAAAACTGAGGCTCAGAGAGAGGTTAACACAACTTCACAGAAATCAGATAACTATGAAATAAAGGAGCAGAGGTTCAAACTCCAGAGCTCACTTCCCCTGATATTGCTGGCATATAACAGGCACTCAATAACTGCTCCTCAGAGACCACACTGGCAATGAAGGTCTATACGTACATCCATAGAAGGCTCTGGAAAGGATCTGGTACTTCATGTTGTCACAGAGAAGTTTCAGGGGAGCCCTGCAGGTGGAGAGAAAGATGCTTTGAATAGATCCAAACACAGCCCAGTTTTCTGGTGAGGAGCAGAACTCAAGAGCGTAGGTTAAAACCAGCCTGTTAGGGGGAGTGGAGAGAGAGCTGCCATCATATTATTTCTACCCATATAGCATCAATGTCCCTTCTTCTATCAGTGCTCCAATTTTCCTTTCAGGAATCAACTTCTCCATAACTCTGTCCTTATGCTTCAGATGGAGATGACTCTACCTGGACAGGGCCCAGGTTGGGGTCATAGTGATTGGGTCAGAGATGATCATGTGATCCAACCCAGGGCAATTAGATCAGCCCTGGGACTTTTATTGGAACTACTAGCAAACAGACACACTTTCTCTCTCTCCCTCTTTTTTTTTTGTCTGAGTCTCTAAGCCAGGGGGATATAGGGCAGTGGCTGCTGGGAGCCATCTTTGCCATTGCATAGGAAGGGCCCACCTGAGAATGAAACCATCACAGAGGCAAGCAAAGCCAAGAGTTAAACATACAGAAAGATTCCTATGGGGAGCACCTGGATCCAGCCATGCCTGAAGCCACTGTGCCTCTGAACTTCTCAGTTACATCAACAAATTTTCTTTTTTACTTCAACCAGTTTGAAGTGGATTTCTGTCACTTGCAGAAAGAGTTCTGACTTCTAGAGTGACCCAGGTGAACCAAAGTGAGCCAAACTGGGATTCAGAGTCTGGCTGTTTGCAAAGTAGGTGATGCCTCCAAGCTTCTCCTTGCATGGGAATCTTGGTGGGGGAGGGCTTTTTTTTTTTTTTTTTGGCTGAAAGAAAAGAGAGGAGCAAGACTCCACCATTGTTGAACAAAGATTTCTGGAAGAAGCACTGTGCATTCTTGTAGAGGACAGAATGGAATAATATCTGGGGACACCCAGAAAAATCTAGGGAGTCCCGTGGGGGAAGAGTAGCTGAAGTCCAATTATACACATGGAGGCATTAACCAATAAAATGTCTCACTTTGGTCCTCAGGTCAGTGAGGCTCCGACTTGCTCAGGTTACATAAGATGGGATCACACTGGCAACTGTTCCACAGAGAACTTGGCTCTCCACAAGACGGTGAGCTCCCTGTCACTCCAGGTGTGTAAGCGGATGCCATAACAAGGGGCAGCATTTCTCACTGGTCCTTGGATCACCATCCCAAGATTTACTTGGGGTTTCATCAAAATGTAGATTCCTGGGCTCCACACAGACTTACTCAATCATGACTGGTGGGAAGTTGCCCAGGATCTGATATGTTTTGATCTCCTCTGGTAAAGTTTGGGAATCTCTGGTTCTATCATCACTTCTCAAACTGAAAGCATGTACATGATCTTGGGATCATGTTAAATACAGATTGGTTCACTGACCACACACTGTGGAGCCAGGGGTTACATGACTTCAAAAATGTGATGTCAGCTCCCACCCCTTACATGAAGACTGGACCACCCATGGGGCCAGAAACCAAAGCATTCCATTCTCCCAGGCCAGGCCAGGAATTGGCTGAATAGCTTCAAAGAGACAAAAACTCTATCAGCAAACAAAGAGAGTTGAGCTTGAGATTTAACTTTATATAATAAAGCAGTAAGTGCCACTTAGTGACTATTTCTCTGTGCCAGGCACCACATTCTGGCTGCTTTAAACCATTATGTGATTTGGTCCTTACAGTAGCCATGTAAAGTGAGCATTAGAATATCCATTTTTATGGAGATGCAATCTGAGATGAATGTGGTTGGCATCAAGTAATATTTCTGGTATTCTTCTAGCTTCTGGGTATATGGTAGGGCTGTGCTTCCTGGCCCCTGGTGCGTGGGGCAAATGGGTTGTGAGCAGAAATGGCATGTGCTGCTTTTAAGTGGAGCATTTATTGTTGGTTCAGGTCCTGCCAGAGCTATAGTTCCTTCTGTCACTGTGATTGGCATTATTCAAGATGGTAGTCTGCCCTTTAGCGTGGAGAAAGCAAAACCCCTAGCTGACCCATTATAGACACAGAGCATGCCTGATATGTAAAGCTTTGTTGTAAAAATCCACCAGGATGCTTTGTTACCACAGCATAACCTTGTTTATCCTAACTGATACACATATGTCAACTCCAATAGCTAGGACTTCACAAACTTAGCATTGAACACAGATCTGGCTGATTCCATAGCCTATGTCCACTCCTCTGAATTCAGTGTAGGAGAAGAAAGTATGTCCACTAGTGCTTGGAAATCCTTCAGCTCCCTCCATCTATAGCTTGAGACCCTCATACCTTTCATGGTTGCAGCCATTGGTTGAACTGCCTTCAGCTGAGCCACTCTGTGAACAGGATGAACAGGAGGATTTCCGGGGGCTGGGTTGCCACAGGGATGGGAGGTTGCTTACTGAGACTTCCATCAGATCCTGGGGCACTGTGGTGGACAGAAGAAAGGGCAGAGGAAGAGCCCTGGTTAAGCCTATGTAGATCACAGAAAGCTCACTCCAAAGCAAGCCGTTTACTCCCAGGCTAGCATAGGGATAGAGAAAGATCCCCAAATGTGGCAACAGGAAATAACAACCCCAATCAGCATTTAACCCTGATCCTTCAGCCTCCCTGATCCAATGAAAGCCATCACCAAAATCTGACGGCTCAGCAGACGGGGCAGAGAGGATGACAGGCAAAGAGAAAAAGAGAGAGATGAACCAAGAAAACAGGTCCAATCCCAGAACGGCAGCCTAGCCTTGCCATGTTGTCATTTAGTCATGCTCATAGGATGGTGTAGGAAGGAAGGGGAGCCTACTGGGTGCTGCTGGGGAAGGCTAATGGTCTAGAATCCCCAGACACAGACTTCATGGGAGCTTCTAGTGGTGGGATTGAAGGGGGCTGGACTCAATAGACAAGGAAGGGGATCCAAGGGCAAGAGAATAATAGAGTCCCCTCTGACAAGGAAGAGGGCACCCACACTGTCCATGGTCCTGAGCCACAGAGCTGCTGCACCAAGCAGGTCTCAGATTGGCAACTCCCCTAGAATCACACTGGGTGCTTATTAAAGAGCCATAAGCCCATCCTATACCTGGCCTCCTAAACTAAGACCTCCTGGAGACAGAGTCCTCAAATCTCTATTTTTAAAACAATTTTGACACAGCAGTCATGTTGGAGAGACCCTGATCTCCTAACTCTTGGATGCTGGTGATTTCTGACCACCTGCTCCAAAGATACAGCACTCATACTTTCCCTTATTTTATTTTTCTTTCCCAGATTCATGAAAACGTCAGTATCTGCAAAACCACATGACAAATGTGTATTATACATGTAACAGGGGGACACATGCATTATAAATTCTATAGTCAACTGCCTGGCCTTTTGGCAGCTCTAGACAGGTGCAAAAGTTTTATTTTCTCTAGGGCAGGGCCCTTTTTCTGTAAAGGGCCAGGTAGTAAACATTTTAGGGTTTGTAAGCTACTGGTCTCTATCACCACCACTCAATGCTACTCTTGTAGTGTAAAAGTAGCCATGAACAAATATAAATAAATAAGCATGGATATGTGCCAATAAAACTTTATACATAAATACGGAAATGTGAATTTCATGTCATTTTCACATGTCAAAAAATAATCTTCTTTTGATTTTATTTGATCATTTGCAAATTTAAAAGTCATTCTTAGCTCATGGGCTATACAGAAAATAAGTCTAGATTGGGCCCGGGGGCCTTAATTTTCTAATCCTTGTTCTAGGTAATTAAGAGAGGTGCACATTTTCCCATATATCATGCACTTCAAGTACAATTGGTAATGCCCTTCCTCCTCCTTTGGGCTCCAAGGGGTGGGGGAGTCGTGGACCTGGCCTCTCAGGTCATCAGAACTCAGCAGCTGACTGGGGTCAGCCCCTCCCCACAGACAGAATACAAAGCTGCCTACAGAATGTCATTCTTGTGGCCACCAAACATAGCTTCTCACACTATTCTTCTCCATGCATATTCACCCATGAGTAACCAAGAAAGACCAGTGTGCCCCTGTCAAATATTTGAGAAAAATATCCCTAGTTCTTAGCCAATCTCAGGCAAGTATTGATCAGTTCAGCTCAGATGTGGCAACCATATTGGCACTCCAGCCCTCACACACATGCAGGCATTACTAATAGATCCCTTTGCAGTAAAGCCCACAATACTCCAAGCTGCCTTATGCAGGGTGGAGGCTGAACAGTGGGAGGGCATCACTTTAAATCCTGCAGGACCATCACTCAAATGACAACATGGCAGAGGTGGCTGGCACCCAGCCCAGAAAAGAGGGGAGCCTGAACATTACTGGGGGGCTGCTCCTTCAGGCCTGGTGTGGGGAGGGTGGCATCCCATCTGGCTCGTGCCCACCGACTCCCCCTGGCCATCACCAGCATAGACTGGCCTACAGGAACCATCATCCAGGCAGGGCCCACGGAGACAGTGGAGGTGCTGCCCAAGAGGTCCGGGGCAACTTGAGACACAAAACAAAAAGAACTAGTGAGATGGGAGGTCTGAGATGGGCAGGACACCACGACAGCTGGAAAATCCAATTCCCAGAGGCTCCAACCCTTCCCTCCCCGACCCTGGTCTACACAGCTCCCACATATATTGTCTATGATCTGGAGAAGAAAGAATGCTGAATAAAATGCCTACTGTGTGCTGGGTGCTGGGCTAGGCAGCTGACCTTATCATTAGTGACCCTGCAAGGGATGCCTTTATAGAATGCATTGTCCCATTTTATAGAAGAAACTGAGGCTCAGAACGATAACGTAACCACCCAAGCCCCACCAGGTAGTAACCAGCATATCTGGGCATTTTTAACTGAAGTCCCTCTTCATTTTCCACTAAAAACAGCTGTTACTTACTGAGTGCGGATACTATCATCATCTAACCGTAAAGACTAGGAATCAGAGGCACAAAGAATTTAAGCAACGTACCCAGACCACCCAGCTAACAAGTGGTGAAGCCAAGATTCCACCCCACAGGACTTGGCTCTGACATCCTGCTCATCTCATTACTTCAAATGTTTTCCCATAGGCCCTTACAGATATACCATCTGTTCACAATCGGGGCAATTTTGGCAACATCTGGAGATACTTTTGGTTGTCACAACTTGGGGATTAACTAGATGCTACTGGCATCTAGTGACTGAATCTAGGCCCTTCAATGCACAAAACTAACCCTCCCCCCCACACACAGAATTTTTCAGCACCAAGTACCCATAGTGCTGAGGCTCAGAAACTCTGCACTAGACCAGCACTCTGCAATAGCAACCAAGTAAAAAAAATCTTTCTAATAGCCACATTAAAAAGGTAAAAAGAGGGCAGCACCTGCGGCTCAAAGGACTAGGGTGCTGGCCCCATAAGCCAGAGGTGGCAGGTTCAAACCTAGCCCAGCCAAAACTGCAAAAAAAAAAGGTAAAAAGAAACAGGTGAAATTGACTCCAACAATACATCTTGTTCAGTATCTCCTGAATGTTATCATTTTTACACATCATCAATATAAACTTAGTAATGAGATATTTTACATTCTTTTTTCCTTTCAGACACAGTCTTTAAAATCTGGGATGTATTTTGCACTTCCAGGACATCTGATTTGTACCAGCAGCTGCATTTCACTTGCTTGGTGGCCACATGTAGCTCGTGGTTGCCATACCAGACAACGCAGAAACATTCTGAGCAACAGAATAATCTGAAAATGCCCTTATCTGACTGTGAACCTGTCTAAATGTTTTAGAACTATCTTCAGTGCACAAAGAGGCAAACAACCAAGTGGTGACAGGGGTGATAAGATACTGAAAAGGAGGTTTAGAACCATCCATAGCCAAATGTTCCCATCTACAAGGTAGAACTCTTTTTTGTTGTTTTTGTTTTTGAGACAGAGCCTTAAGCTGTTCCCCTGGGTAGAATGCTGTGACATCACAGCTTATAGCAACCTCCAACTCCTGGGCTCAAGCAAGTCTCCTGCTTCTGCCTCCCAAGTAGCTGGGACCACAGGTGCCTGCTATAATGCCTGGCTATTTTTTGGTTGCAGCCATCATTGTGGTCTGGCAGGCCCAAGCTAGATTCGAACCCACTAGCCCAGGCATATGTGGCTGGTGCCTTAGCCACTTGAGCCACAAGCACTGAGCCAAGGTAGAACTCTTTTTTTACTTAAGGCAGGCATCTGCAAATGTTTTCCTGTGAAAGTAATTCTACAGATAACTGCTTGGCCTTTTGGTTTTGTGGGCCATATCATCTCCATCACAATTATTCACCTCTGCTGCTGTGGCAGCCACAGATCATATGTAAACAAATGGATGTGGCTGTGTTCCAATAAAACTTTATTTACAAAAACAAGCAAATGGGCCAAATTTGTTCCCGTGGGAAGGGGCTTGTTGACTTCTCATTTAGGTACTACTCCAGAAAGGACATCCTAATTCTCACAGAGGAAAGTCACGAGATAGTTGTTTTGGAGTGCCATGGCATCAGCGTAGCTCATAGCAACCTCAGATTCTTGGACTCAGGTCATCCTCTTGCCTCAGACTCCCACATAGCTGGGACTACAGGTGCCCACCACAATGCCATGCTAGTTTTCTATTTTTAGCAGAGACAGGGTCTCCCTCTTGCTCAGGCTGGTCTCAAACTCCTGAGATCAAGTGATCCATGCCCCTTGGCTTCTTAGAATGCTAAGATTATAGTCATGAGCCACTGCCTGGCTAAAATAGTTGTTATTGATAACCCTGTATTGCTCAGGTCCCTGAGAAATCAGACAATGGGGTTGGGCTGGATCTGCTATTGAGGAAGAAGGTGGTAAAATCACAATGTCCTCTCCCCTACCAATCAAAGCAGCATGCATGGAATGGTGATTAGAGACAGGCTCTGGAGCCAAATCACCTGTGTTCAAGTCCCAGCTGTGCTAAGAATTAGATGTGTGACCCTGGACCAGTTGTTTAACTTTTCTGTTCCTCAACTTCCTCCTCTGCTGTAAAGGAGACGGTGAAGACAGTGGTACCTGTCTAAGGTAGGATTCTGGCAGGGATGAATTGGATTGAGGCATGAACAGAGTACAGATGTGGGCCTGCCACATAGCAGTGCTCAAGACGTGATACTTACCATTGCTCACTGAGCATCTGCCAAGCATCAGGCCCCAGACCAGGTAAATGTTTTGTGAATGATCACCCTGACTCCCCAGAATACAATCCTGGTGGGGAGTGCTGTTATCTCCATTGTATAGACAAGGAAATGAGACCTGAAGAGGACGAGTCACTTCACCAAACTGCAGTGGCAGATCTGAACACAGAGATGTGTTCTTTTCTCTAAATCAGTGGTTCTCAATCAGGTATAATTTTGTCACCCTCTCCCAGCAGACACTAGGCAATGTCTAGAGACATTTCTGGCTGTCACAACTTTAAGGGAGGTGGGTTTGCTACTTGGCATCTAGTGGCTCAGGCCAGAGATGCTTCTCAACATCCTACAATACATAGGACCCTAAAACAAAGAATTATTCCAACTAACATGTCAGCAGTGCTAAGACTGAGTAGTCATGTTTTTTTTTTTTTTTTTTTTTTTTTTTTTTTTTTTGTAGAGACAGAGTCTCACTTTTTCGCCCTCGGTAGAGTGCAGCGGAGTCGCTCCTGCAACCTCCAACTCCTGGGCTTAGGCAATTCTTCTGCCTCAGCCTCCCAAGTAGCTGGGACTACAGGCGCCCGCCACAACACCCGGCTATTTTTTGTTGCAGTTTGGCCGGGGCTGGGTTTGAACCCACCACCCTCGGTATATGGGGCCGGCGCCTTACTCACTGAGCCACAGGCGCCTCCCGAGTAGTCATGTTTTTAAACAAACTGATCAGACTGGGCAAGGCAGCTCATGTCTGTGATCCCAGCACTTTGGGAGGCCAAGGTGGGAGGACTGCTTGAGATCAGGAGTTCAAGGCTGCAGAGAGCTATGATTGCACCACTGCACTCCAGTCTGGACAACAGAGGAAGAACCTCTCTCTAAATAAATAAATAAATACACTGATTTAGTTGTCATTTCCTCCAAGACAGACAAAGACTCAGTGCAAATAGTCAATTTGGGAGGTCTTCCCATGAAGCTTTGGTAGAAGACAGGTGAAGAGAGACAGAGAAGCAAAGGCAGAGGGTACAGCTGGGACAACTGTTCTTCATCTCCTGGGGGAACCTCTAGGGGACTGTGGACGACACGCATTTCAAAGTTTGTGCTCCCCAGGAGTGAGGGAGCTGGGGTATTTTACTCCTATCAGTCTCTGAGGGCCACTCCTGGGAGGCATTGAATTCCTGACACTTACAGTATGCCCCACTCCTGAGCAGAAGGGACCTTAGTAGCCAAACAGATCCCTCAGACAAAGAGACACTGAGGCAGGGAGCTGGCAGCTGAACAGCACACACAAAATGGGAAGTGCCAAGGTGTGGGTGGGCACAGCCAGCATCTGCTCTGCTGCCCTCCATCAAGCTACAAGAGGAAAATGTGGATATTTCCTCAAATAAATAAAACACCCAGCACCCAGCCTGGCTCCCAGCAGGAGCCTACTAATTACTTAGTGGATGAGAACCCATGCAAAGAAGGTTCCTGGGAAGGCAGCCACAAGGGATGTGGTGCTCTCTGATTAAGCAGTTCTCAAGTGGGACACAGGAACTAATGTCAATCTTCATGGCAGTGGGAAGCCCAGGTTGTTGGGAAATAAAACTGAAGCCAGCTCTGCACCCAGGGAGACTTCACCATTACGAATGGAGCCATTTCAGCTTAGACTGAGTACATGGAATGCTTGGTTTTCCATTCTTGTGATACTTTGTACAATGTAGGGGTAAATAGCACACTTACTGGGTGAAAGTTGCAACCATAACTTGGACTTTACCTGACAAATGCAGAGTGTAACCTAATCATATGTACAGTAAATTAATCCGAAATCAAAACTAAAAACAAATGGAGCCATTTCAGCCTTGGGGCTGGAACAGCTTTGGTTCTGTGGTGAGGGCAGGAGTGCTCTGGGTGGGAAGGGACATGGTAAGGAATATTTCAGGACATCTCTGTAGCACTTAAGGGATACCAACCTTGCTGGGAGGACAATCTGCTCTCAAGAGAGCCTCTCACTGCCCAGCACGTGGCCACTTAAGCAAAGGGAGGCTCAGAGCTATTATCCATGGAAGGAGAGTAACAGGCTGCTGAGGGTTAAATAAAATGAGGTTAACAGAAAAACTGATTGTTTAACACACATCCATACGGTGCTTAATAAATGCCAGCCTCCTTCCCAGTACTTTTCGAATATTAATTCATTGAATGCTCACAGCTGCCCCATGAGAATGATGATCTTAATATAACAGTAAGTTTCCATTAGCTACACACCTATATCACAACGATCACCACACACACTGACACAGATTATCATCTCATGTGCTACTGCCTGGGGCTTTGCTTGCCCTCCACTGTTCTAACTGGCACTTATCGAGGGCCCACTGTGTGCAGAGCCCATTATGCTGAAGTGAAATATGTATTTGCAACCACAAAAACTTTATAATTAAGCAGCTGATATTTGAGCATTCTCCATGTGCCCAATACCTCACCTCATTTAATTGTCAGGATAGCCCTATGAAATACGTGCTCTGATTGTCCCCCATTTTACAGATGAGGAAACTGAGGCACAGAGGGGCAAAGTGACTTGCCCAAGCTCAGCCAGGATTCCAGAGCCCTGCCACTGCCACTCCCTCATGTCACCTCCCACCTTGTGGCATTTTTTATTAGCCAAGTAGACAGTGGTTATTTGTTCTTATTTGGGGGGGATCCAAGGCTGCCAAGATACTGACTTCCTGACTGCAGGTGCTCCTGCTGGCCCCAGAATCCAGACCTCTTGTCTAGTCATTTTTAGGATCAGTCAGCAGGTGGATCCTGGGGGCCCTGGGACAGAGCAGCTTACCAAATTCAGACTGCATGCCAGGATAGATGATCCGGAACACATAATCTGTGGCCTCATCATCTTCCTTGTCTGAAGATGTGGACTCAGCAGAACCTTGAGGGCTTCGCTTGCGCAGCTTAGGGAACACTTTGCCCTGAAAGAACATCCCAGTACAAGGTCCTTGGGACACACAACCTCTAGGGGACTGTGGGTGACATGCATTTCAGAGTTTGCACTCCTAAGGGGTGAGGGAACTGGGGTATTTATACTCCCATCAGCCTCAGAGGGCCACTCCTAGGAGGCACTGAATCTCTGACACTTCTAATATGCCCCACTCCTGGGCCAAAGGGACCTACAACCTGCATTCCCCAGGATATCAGTGATGAGTGCATGAACCCACAAAGCCACACTGAGAACCCACAGGAAAGAGGAACCAATTCTCATGACAGCCCCACCCCAGCCCTCTGGGCCCCCATGATCACTCACCTTCTCACGCTGGGACCACAGCGGTGGGTCCAGCTGCCCGTGCGGGAGCAGCCCGTTCTCTAGGCACGAGAGAAACTGCAGGAGGTGCCCACCCTTGGGGAAGCGGAAGGGTGGCCTCTGGATCCCATCCTGGCTGACCAGCACCACCGTCCCACCGCTGTCGACTGCCACCACAACCAGCCAGAGAAGACCCAGTGGGAGGTCACTATGAGGTGTGGTGATGGGACCTTCCCTACAAACACATCCCACTTTGGGGACCAAGCAGGAACCAGGGCCCTGCTATGAGGCGCCAGGGAAGGCTTGGGCAGATTTTACCCTGCTGTTCTGAGTGGTCCCTCTCATCTGACCTACTACCCATCCCTGACAGGTTAACTATGGGACAAGGTCAACAAGAATGTGGCTGACCTCCCTAAAGATAGCCACCATAGGAAAAATATGTCCCCAAACACTCTATCCATCTCAAAACTCCTCTAGAAATCCACCTGACAGCTTTTTATATGCAGGGCTTTAGCCTTACCCCTTCTTGGAACAGTAATTGACTCTGGGTAGCATATATTTAGCACTTACTTTATATGAGCACAGAACGTTAAAGGCACTGTCCTATTGTGATACTACCAATATTCTTCAGAGGCATATCTATTATTGCCTATTTTATACATGAGGAAACCAAATCTCAGAGAGGCTAAGCAACTTCCCGAAGGTCACACAGCTGATCAGTGGCAGAGCCTGGATCTGACCCCAGGTCTGCCTCATTAACCCACAGTGGCTTAACCCACTGTGTTGTGTGCTTTGGTGAAGCACAGACCATTTGCTTTTCTAAAGTAGGATGGCCCTCTGCTTGTTCTGGTTGCCCCTTTTCCAGCTTTAAAGGAGTGTTATGGTTTTTGGTCCCAGATCTTCAGAGCACTGACTTTGGAGTCACAAAGACAGGGCTCAAGTTCAGGCTCTGAAGCTTATTGGTTGTGTGCCTTTGTACCAAGCTGCTTCCTCACTTCTAAAGTGGGAATGATGTCACCCCATCACTGGGTCATTGTGACAAATAAAAGCCATATGAATACTTAGAACTATGCTTGGCACCTTTTAAGTGCTCAGTAAGTGTCAGCAGCTAACGTCACAGGTGTGATGCTCAGCCCTTAACATTCATCAATTGATCTTCACAACAAACCCCTGAGAAGGTGCTGTTATAACCTCCATTTTACAGACAGAGAAACTGAGGCTCAGAGAGGTGATCACTTGTCTGAGGTTGCACAGGGAATACGGAATGCCCACAGGTAGAGACAGGAAGGGGAACCAAAGGGAATGCCCAGCCCCCTGCTGTCTCCACAGTCCCTACCTTGCTGGTGGCAGTGTAGGTAGACAATCTCCTCCAAGCGGATGGTCATGGCATAGTCCCAGTAGACGCTAAAAGGGGAGGGAGTGTCAGGCTCATAGGATGCCTGCCCACCTCACCCATAGGCTCCTCCACCCTTCTCACCAGAATGCACCCAGGCCCAACATCTGCGTCCCAGCCTTCCCAGACCCTGTCCCACCTTCTTCTGGTCCCAGCACTCCAATTTTCCAAGGGACGCAATCTCCCCTACTCCTAGTCCAGATGGCTAAGGTGAGGCTGACACCTCCCACTCTCCCCTCTAGGACTCCAGGACTCCACTGGACCCAGGCCTGGCCACAGTGCTCAGTGCAAGGATGACTGTGTGACCCAAGCATTGCCCAAGAGACTCAACTCTCAGAATTGTCTTAGAATGATTGGGAAAAATTTGCTCCACTCCACCTGGGAAGTTGTGGTAAGGACAGAAGTCTTGTCACAGGTGAAAGGTACCACAGTCTGAAAATGACACCAACAGAGAGGAAGACAGAGCTGAAAGACGGGAAAGGAGCAGGTCCCCACCACCTGAACCCTTGGATCCAGAGATGCGGGAAGCCACCGCCCAGGGATTTTTCAATTCACATGAGACAGTGTTTGAGTCAGCCCGAGTTTGTTTTTCTATAACTGACACCTAAGAATGTGACTAAGTCACACCCTAACTCCAGGCCACTGTGTGTTCATGGACAGGAGTTAGAATAGCTATTTGATAGCCTTGACTCCATAGCTCACAGCAGTGTGACTTGAGGGGTTCTTGGAGGCTCCATCCGTGGGGGACTACAACAACACCCAGCCCAGAGTGTCGCTGTGAGGTTTATATGGAATCCTGTATTTGAAAGGATCAGCAAGGACCTGATACTTTAAAAAGTGCATGCTTGGGAAATGGTCCCTGTGATGATTTACTGAAGTGTTTCTACTACCCCCAAACCTGTTGCTGTCCTGAAACAAATTGCTTTTCCTATCAGAACACAATGGAGGAGGATGCCAGCATAGGATTTTGGGCTTTGCGGCAGTCACCGAAATGCACCATTCAGATGCCCTCCAGGAGACCTTGCTACTGGGAGCAGACAGAGGCCACCCCTGTGGGTTTACTGTAGGTTTCCACTAAGGATGCTCCCAGCCGGGACAGAGCACAAAGAGCCAGCTGCTGTGGGATAAGGGGCTTCTCCAGCAGTCAACAATCCATTGGAGACCCTCAGTTGGTTTGGCCAAACATTCTTAGATCTGGGCTGTGTCTGTCATCCACCTAGTCTTCCTTCTTTCCCCTTCTCCCTCCCTGCATGGAGGGCAGAGGGCTCTCACTGTCCACTCCTGCCTGTCTCTTACCCTGCACAGGTGCATTCCCAAGAAACCTCTGCTCATCTAATCCTGTCTTGGCTTCTGCTTCTTTAGAGGATGCAATCTAACACAGGCTTCTAGGGCAGACAATGCTCAAAAACCCACTTCCCTCACCTACCTTGATCCAGTCCCTACTGCTTTCTGGGCCTCAGTTTCCCTTGCTATTAAATGAGGAAGTTGAAACAAAAACTTTGAAGCCCTTCCCACCCTGGTCTGTACCAGAACCAGTCTCAGCAGGGTTCATAGAAGAGAATGTCCTTTGAGGATAGTCATGTGCACTTGAGTAGCCACCTCTTTCAGGCCTCTCACATGCCCAGTCTAGCCAGTGCATCCTGCCCTGGACTCCCACAGTGCCACATGCCTGTCACACAGAATTGCAACTGTTTGATTTTCTTCTCTGATGCCCCAAATGGGACGAGTATCTGGAGAAGGGCTCTGTTTTGGTCACTTCTCCATAATGCTTGGAGAATATTTAGTGTGCATGCAGAGCACTGGAAATGCCCATTGAGGAAAGCTACTCTCCAGTCACCAGCAGTCACTGGCAAGCAGGAGTGCTGTGGCCAATAGTCCCTTGGGACTCAGGACAGGGAGCCCTCTCCAGGTGCCAGGCACCCTGCTAAGTAACATACATGCATTTTTGCTCACACAAATCCTCCCCACATGCCTATTCAGAGGTTCCACTATGCCATCCCCATTTTACAGATGAATAAACTGAGGCTCAGAGAAATGATGTTGATTCTCTGAGGCCACTCTGCTGGGAAGGAACAAAGGCAGAATTTCTGGTTTTAACACCTTGACAGAGGTGTCACTCGCTGGAAGTGTACAATTTGATGGGTTTGATGAGTAAATTTATAGGCTTGGGCAACCATCTCTGCAAGCCAGTTTTAGAACATTTCCATCACCCCCAAAATGTCCCTCTTGCCTGTCTGTGGTCAAGTCCCCATTCCCACCTTAGGCAACTACTAATCTGCTTTCTGACTACAGCTTTGCCTTTTCTGGACATTTCATCGAGATGGAACCATATATGTGACCTTTTGTGGCTAGCTTCTTTCACTTAGCGTCATGTTCTCCAAGTCCATCCATGTTGTTACGTGTACACGTACCAGTACTTCCTTTTGATTGACAAATATTAGCAATATTCTGTTGCAATGACCACATTCTGCTTATCTATTCTTCAGCTCATGGACATTTGGGTTCTTTCCATTTTGGGGGCTAATATGAACCATGTTGTTAGGAACATTAAGTGTAAGTTAAGTTTTCATTTCTTTTGGGTCGATCCTTAGCAGTGGAATTGCTGGGTCACATGATAAGAATATGTTACAATAAACTGCCAATGTGGTTTGTAAATTGATTGTCCCAGTAGCAGCCTATGAGGGTCCCACTGTTTCACACAGCAGGGCTGAGACTGAGGCAGATCTAAGCGAACTCCAGAGCCCAAATATCCCCTACTTTGGTGGTATGTCCTCTCTAACGTAAGGAAGCCCAACTGGGGAGTAATAATCATGGCGGTGCAAGAGGGAGGGATGGCTGTGCAGAGAAAAGAGCTCCTGTACCGTAACAGCCTGTATAGCCTATGGCTTGGAGTGAGAGTTTATAAGAAACACCTGTATAGCTCAATAAAGGAACACCTTGGTGAAAAGGGCATGGGGAGGGATTTAGCTCTCCTAACAAGCATGAGAGCTCGTGAGATGAGAGCATTAGTGAATTGACAGTCTCTACACCTGTGGTGTTGAGAGGCACAAGATCAGCCTTATATTAGGCTAGAGGAGAAGGCAGTTGGGAGCGTGCGCATTCTATCGAGGATCTGCTTACTCTCATTCTGTCTCCTGCTTGCAGAACACCAACACGGCATCTCTCTGCTGAAGATCAATAAACTCTGCTAAAGACTATTCTTCTAAGACTACTTCATCCTCAAAGACTATCTCTCTCTCTCCCTTCTGCTAACATAAATTGCCCTCAGGCACTTAAGGGTAATTGTTCCCAATCAAGGTAGCTCAGAGGTCCGTGTCAGGAACCTAGGTAAGCCTGCAGAGATCTGGCCAGTCCAGGGCCCTAACAAGTGGTGGCAGTGGTGGGCTGTACCATCTCAGATAAGGGACACTGCCCTTTTTTTGTTGTTGTTCCTTGGTCCCCCAAGGGATGCTGGAGCCCCTGGAAAATTCCTTCCCTACACACCACTCTCCTGGCTACTTCTCTTCCAGCAAACCCTGGGTGAAAAGAACAAGGAAAGATGGGGATTCAGGGCTCAGGACCGGGGATGTCCCCAGCCTGTAGGCTGTGATCTTGAAAGGTCAGAATCAGCTAGAACTCAATACTGAAACACTTACAATGCGCTTGTTTACCAACAGAGAAAAAGGCACAGAAGCAAATAGTCTGGATGACCTGAGCTGGTGAGTAGGGGGTCTGGGCATCAGTGAATCCAGTGCCTTTTGAAGACGTTAGCATCAAAAGTTTCCTGCCCACACAACCCTGGGCTTAAGTCCAAGCAACAAACAGGGTCCTTGGGCTGTTTAAAGCTCTGATGTTGGGAGGAGGATACCTCAATGTTGGAGAAGCCCCTGCAAACCCTCTGGAAGTCCCCTGAGTTCTGGGGAGACCATCTTGTCCTCCTCTCTCCTTTGACAGAAAGGGAAACTGGAGGCCCAGAGTGGTGGAACAACATACCTCAGGTGGAGGGGGCTTGGTTAGCAAAGTGAGGGTGGAGCAGGGACTTAGTCCCATAACACACATTAATCAGTTTATTTGCTCACTTCCCCACATAATGTGAGCTGTGGGAAGGTAAAGACTGTCCCTTTATTCAATGGATATCTCCCTTGTATCAAGCACAGTGCTCAGCACAGGGCAGGTGCTCCGTAAATATTTGGGGTGTGCACCCAGGCCCCCTGACTTCTCTGCTTCATTTCACAGGGATCATCTGAGCACCTGCTATGTGCTCCAATCTGTGGTAGGTATTGGGCATGAGATGTGAGCATGTCAGGACCCTGCCTTCAAGAACAGAGGGCTTGAGGGTGAGGTAAGAGATACACAAGTGGGCACAGACTCATTCTGTAACCAAAGTTTTCAAACAAACGCTACAAAGGAGGTTAGGCTTGTGTGATCCGAACTTTGCAGGGAAATCAGGGAAGGCTTGATACCAAGGTTATCAAGGATAACCAAGGATATCAAGATAAAGAGGCTGAGATAAGCTTCCAGGCCAGTCGCATCTCCTTGACCCCTGCCCTGCTCCTCCAAGACAGCCTCTTGATTGTATACTCCAGAGTCTGGCTGGAACCAATTTATTATTAGCCCCAGCCTAGGACCAACTGTACCACCCACCAACCATCTCTGAGGACAGATGATGACCTGTGAACAGGACATGACCTGTTAGCTTAGAGAACACTATTAATCACTCTGAGACCTGACTGTTTAAGAGAATGCAAAGATAACATTCTGATTATATTTCCTAAAAAAACTCCTTATCTGACATTAAAATATTTATAGATGAAACCATGTAAGGTTGGTATGCTGCTTCAGAATAATATATGGGGTGGAATATGGGTGTGGGTTAATGGCCATTAGAGCTGGGTGATGGGACCCTGAATTCTGTTATATTAAAAATTTATCACATGTAGTCCCAGCTCCTTGGGAGGCTGAGGCAGGAAGATCGCTTGAGTCTAGGAGTTTAAGATTGCAGTGAGCTGTGATAACGCCACTGCACTCTAGCCAGGGTGACAGATTAAGGTCCATCTCAATCAATCAATAAATGAAATTCATCACAAAAAGGTTTGTAACAAGCAAGAAAATATAAAAGAAAACAGGGATTAGCACCTGCAGTAGCCAAAATTGCACACGTTGTACTATGTGGACAGGCCACCCCTTTGCTTTGTGGCTTTCTCTCATCTCCCAGACTGCTGGAACATGGGGGCTGGAGCAGGGAAGTTCCTTTCCTGGCATTCTTTCAAATGTGACCCCCAAAGCCTTTGCAATGTCATAAAAATCACAGGATCCTGCAGGAGAGGCAGGCCTGGGCTAGCCACTCACTACTATCTCCTGTCTCCCTACTTTCCTGAGTGATAAGCAGAGGTGCCTGGGACTGGGGAGTATTTTGTCATCACAGGCTTCTGAGATCTCTGTCAAGATTGCACTCTCTGTCTGTACCAGGGCACTGACTAACCCCCAAGTCCTAAGAGTCTTCCTGTTAGTTTCTGGATCTTTCTGAACATTTGGGGTCCCAGCTGTGGGGAGGGGGATTTGGGGTCCCAGTGGCCATAACAACCAGGCAAAGTAGCCGGCAGAGGTGTTGCACAAGCCTCCCCAGCCCTGTAAGACAACTCTCGTGTGCCAAGGGGGAGTGGAGGGCCCCAGGGGACTCAAGGCGGGCCCAGAGTTCTACCTCTTCTCATAGTCCAGGTCCCCCACGGATCCATTCATCAGCTGGTTGGGCGTCCACTTCAAGGTCATGACGTCAGCAGTCTGGTGCAGGGACAGGTACCCCGGCACAGACTCCATATCATCCCTCTGCAGAGAGAGGAGGACTCAGGCTGGGCCATAGTGCTGGAGTCACAGCTGATGTCAGCTAGGCCCATTTAGCTCAAGGACACATAACTAGAACCAAGAGGTCAGGCTATGGCCACTCAGAGGACCCTGTGCCTCCTTCCAGTGGCCATGCTGAGCAGACCCACCTGCAGCCAATCTTGCAGGCTATGTTCTAGCATCCAACTGTGAGTACCACCACCTCTCAACACTTTCATGTTTGTGCTTCCCTCCTGAAGTCAAGGACCTTCCCAAAGTTCCTTTAGGACCAGGAAGGAGGTTGTGTCCCTCTTAAAATCACCCTTGTCAAAACAGAAGGCATTTAGCTTGGCCAGTCCAAGGGGAGAAAAACAGCAGCAAGCTCTATGGTCTATCCTGCAGACCTTACCCAGAAACCCCTTTCCCAATGTCCCCCTATACTCCCAGCCGACCAGCGCGACCCTCAGCCTTTCCAGATTTTGCCTAGAGGACTTCTGCCCTGCTTTCTTTTAGCCCAAGTGGGTGTGCAGGGGAAGACAATGTCACCATCTCTCCCCCATAGAGAGGAAGGAGCCCCTCCACCAAAGTCACCTTAACGACATGCAGAGACAGACAAGTGACACTGTCTGAGCACCAGGGCTATACCAAGCATGGCCTAGTCTTCACATGTGTCAACTTAATCCCACATGTTTATGACCCCACAAGGGAGTACTACGGCAGTGTTTCTTTGGTCCAAAGGGGCACGGCTTGCTTTTTCACATTTTAATGTCCCTGAAATGGTGACGAATCTTATGATAAGTGGCATCTCACGACTGTGATGTAGTTGTCACCTCCTGATCTTGCACAAACTTCTCCATAGCTGCTGATGCACTGGCGTCGCTTCAATTAAGTTTTGCGCATGGCGGCCATTTCATAAGCAGAGTACAGGGGCTATTTTAGATGTCATCGGAAACACTAGACAGTGATTCAGCTTTGAGTTGAAAACCTATCGTGAACATAGGAAGGCTGGGAACAGAGCAGCAGAGTGCTCATGTAATACTGCCAAAGCAGGCACATTATTCTTCATCCCTGCAAGGAGGCCCATGATTCTAACATTTTCTTGCAAAGCAACAACCAGTACTTTATAGGACTTAAGAACCACCCTGGAGATAAGAGTAGACATTCTTGTAAGAAATGCTGCACTTCCTGTGCTCTTGGACCAGGAGCTCCTTACACCAGAAAGAGGATCTTTTTAGCTTTGTGAGCCATACAGACTCAGTTGCAGCCATGCAGCTCTGTTGTCACAGCCTAGAAGCAGTCATAGACAATACATAAACTAATGGTCATAGCTGTGTTCCAATAAAACTTTATTTGTAAAAACAGGTGGAGGGCTACATGTGGCTCATGGGCTATAGTTTGTTGATCCCTTCTCTTGATGGAACAGAAAAACACTATATGGAAAAACAACTCTTAGTCAAAAAGGGTATCAATAACTCTTAGCCAAAAAGTGATACAGAAGGTAGAACTCTGAACTGCAGGAAGTTTTAGGGATATCTTAACAAATGTATTTCAATGATATTTTCCCTTATGTCTATTTATAAAAGTAATGTATGACTAAAAAAACTATGTCAAATAAACCTCAAGGATCTCTTTCAAAAAGCATAAGCTAAAATTTCCAAATATGCTCTAAACAGCATTTTTAAATTTCTCAATGGCTATGTTAAAAAATGGTGTATCTTAAATATATGGCTTCTTAGATTTAAGAAAACACCATCTTGTACCTATTGTGATGCAAATATCGTGGCTAAAGAAGAGGAAGTGGCTTGCTCAGGGTTCCCTAATGACTGAAACTGTGACCACAGACCTGGAGCGGCTGATAGCACTCCCTCTGCTTCCTCCTAACTGAGCCCAAATACTAAGCTGACCCTGTGATCAAATGGCCCTCGGGAGGGGATAGTCGGAGGAGACACTGCCTGAGGACAGGGTCTGCGTGTGCCTGGTTCACCATCCATCTGTGTAGCCGAGCCAGGTGCAGGGGCATCAAAGGTGACTGAGCAGTGGCACACTCTGGCACCAGCTGGCCTGAATTCAATTCATAACTCTGCCCCTTACTTCACCTGTAGGGGCCTCAGTATTACCAATTATAATAATAGTGCCTACTTCAAAGGGTTGCTGTGAAGTTTAAATGACTTAGTATACTTATAAGCACTTCACACTGCCCAACTCAATAAATATTAATTATGAGGATGATCTGGAAATCCCATGCATCTAGTACCTAACAGGTCCATATAACCATTTGCTGAATGAGTGAGAACAAGAGTGGATAAATGAATAGAAGGCTAGGTGGGCATGGGGATAGGCAGACAGACTGGAAAATAAATGGACAAACAGATTTAAAATAAATGGACAAACAGATGAATGAAGGGATGGATGGATATAAATATAGATGAATGAATGAATGGTGAGTAGGTGAATGGATAGATGGGTGGGCGGATGGATGAATGGATAGATGGCTGGGTGGGTGGATGGATGGATAGATGGGTAGATGGGTAGGTGGGTAGGTGGATGAATGGAAGATTGGATAAATTGGTGGGTGTAAGGACGGGTGGGTAGATGAATGGGTGGATGGATGGATGAATGGATGGATAGATGAGCAGGTGGGTGAATGAATGGATGAGCAACCTGGATCCAGAGGGAACTTCTCCTCTATAATCTGGAGCCAGACTCTCAGCACAAAATCTGAGCCTAAGATGAACCCTCACCGGCTGAACCAGAACATTGTTCTTGCCATAGAGCAGGGTGGCACGGGAGTTCTGGTGCAGAGACTCCACATAGTCGCGGGCAGAGAGGGATGGCCGGTCATCCATGCTGCCACTCGAGTGCCTCTTCTGAATCTGGTAATATGAGGGAAGATGGAGGGATGAGGCCTGGAGCAACCTTCAGGGGCCCTACCCTGTTCCCTGTCCCCATGCCAAACCCTTCCAGACACCCCACTGTCCACCCCACTCACACAGAGGGCTGGCCTCTTAGTGGGTGAGTCCTGCCGCAGGCGCGAGCTGTGTATGCGGTGCCTCTGGACTAGCTCATCGGCTGAAGGATCGGTCCAGAAGTGATCTGCAGTCTTCATCTTGGTGTACTCAAGGGCACAGGGCCCCACTGTGAAGCACACGGGGGCTGGGAATCCATCCACACTCCAGGAAGCCCATCCTTCTATCTCCCATTATCCCATTTCACTTCCCCTGTCCCTCCAGTCAGCTAGGATGTCCCAGGGTCTTGCAAAGAACAAGGCTCTGGGAGCAAGAGACAGTAAATTGCTAAGTTTGGAAGGGCAAAACTGGATGGGGATGAAAAAGGCCCTGAGAAGTCCTCTGGAGACTCAAGAGCAGAGGTCCAGATGCAGCTCCAAGCACCAGACCACTTACCCAATAAAGATGCAAGGATGGGGCCATCCACAGGGTCCATCAAGAGAGCTTCCTTCTCGTAGTATTTACTACCAAGAGAGGAAAGGACATGCAGGTTTGGATGGGGACCAGCAGAAGGCACTCAATGTAAGGCGGGGTTCAATCTCCACCTGTCATCCAGTTTCTACTGAAAGCCTCACCTGCCCGATCTGTAAAATGGGGATAATGATTATTTATCTCATTGGGCATTTAGCATGATGCTTGGTATGCACCTGCTTAATACATGGTCACAACAGAGCCTTTGTGAGGGTAACAGAAATAATAATTAGAAGGCAGCTGAGGCCTGCCTGATTCTATCTGCTTCCACCACATCTTCCATTTGAGACACAGATGATGTCTGCCCTTCTGTTATGGAGGCAATAAAATGCTGTCCAGCTGCAGTGTGCACTGAAAGGCTATGTTAATAGGCTTTCCTGTCCTGATGACTAATGTTGATCATGCTGGCCTGAGGTGCCCCCAAATGCTCCCTGGATCTGGCTCTGCAAAATAATATGTGATGCCATCTTTACAACAGCCATGATGAATGTTTTTTGATTTGTTTGTTTGAGTTATTGTGTGAATTCCTTTGTTTGAGTAGGTATGAATTCATTGAAAACTCATACAGTCTAGAAACAAACAAAATTTATAGAATTTCTGGGTTGAAGAGGACTTCATTCCAAACTCCCAAAGGACCTTAGAGAAGGTAGTGACTTGCTGAATGCCACACAGCAGGAAGATGCTGGCTGGGCCACATCTAGCTGGCTCAGCTCTTGCCATCATATAACAAGAAGTAAAGGACACAGGATCTGGGAAGGAGCTCCGGTCTGCCATTCCCTGCCTGGCTGTGTATTCCTGAGCAAGTGTATACCCTCTCTGAGCTTTAGTATCTTCAAATGCAAAGAATGACAGAACTCACCTGGGTTGTTGGAAGGACTAAATGGTGACTTGCTATTATAGCAACAGCACAGAACCTGACATCAGGAAATTCTCACTGAATAGTGGCAACATTGTAATCTTACTCCAAAGAAATCTTCTAAAACCTAGGATATTAGACGACCCAGAATGGAGATGCTGTGTAACCTTGTTACTTGCTCAATAACAAGGTTATACATTTTGGGGTCAAATTACAAGATAATGTATCAAGACACTTTCCACTTCATCACCACCCAATTTCCATGACAAAAATTATCACAGTGCTATGACTGTAAACCTTGGAAATGCTGCCTCAAATAACAGCAGCTGGAGTTCGAATCAAGATGGCACTGTAAAAAGTAGCCCAAGAAAGTTTCTTCAGGGTGATAAGTTTCTTTGGAAAGATTCTGTAACCTGATTGTGGTGTTGGTTACATGAAACTATGTATGTGTATGTATAAAATTTCATAGAAATATTTTTTTTCAAGGAGTCCATGTAAAAAGTGGCGAAATCTAAATAAAGTTTGTGATTCATTAATAGTATTGTGGCAATGTCAATTTCCTGGTTTTGATCATTGTATTATGGTTATGTGAGATGTTATCACTGGGGCTGGGCAATTAGTACCCTCTGTATTAATACTGCAACTTCTGTGTAAATCTAAAATTAAAAAGTTTAAATGAAAAAAATAGCAGGTTGACACTGCTGCTCAAATACATTATTAAGTCTTTGGCTGACTTAACAGGAAATCAAGAGGTCATATGCCAAACCCAGTAACTAAAGAGGCCCAAGACCATTTACAGGATAGGGAGCAGAGGCATGTGACCATTTGTTTCCTTTTCTTTTTTTTCTTTGCAGTTTTTGGCCAGGGCTGGGTTTGAACCCACCACCTCCAGCATATGGGGTCGGCACCCTTACTCCTTTAAGCCATAGGCGCCGCCCACACGTTTCCTAGGAGTGAAGAAGTTAACTGCGGACCCAGACCTTACATTTTTTTGTTTCTCTTCTGGTTCTAGGCCTTCATACCTGCTATTCCCTCCACCAGAAACATTCTTTTCCATGCCCCCTTCACCTGGCTAGTGCACATGTAACAGCTTAACTCTTGCACCATCCAGAATGCTTTTCCTGACCACACAGAGAAGACAAAACACCAGCACACCCAGCTTAGAACACTCCTCACATCCTATCACCATGACTATTTTATATTTGCTAGTGTTCCATGCTGGAATGTGAGTTTTGTGAGGAGAGGGACTTTGCTCTGTACTTTCACACATATTTCCCTCACAAAGGGGCAAGGAATGAAAAGATAAAAATAATGCCCAGTGGGTATAAAGACATGGTTAAACCAGCACCTTTATATGCTGAAAGATGAGGACATTCTCAGGTCTCTCTCTTTCTCCTTCTGTCCACTCCCTTGGAGGCTGGCGAGGCAGGTTGGCTATGGGAAGTCTTAGATTATAGATTCTTCAGTGGTTCCCCACTGCTCTTGAGACAACATACAAGTTCCGCAATGTATCAGGCAACACCATTGCATCCCCGACATTTAGATTAGTGCCTTGAAGATAGCAGGTGCTCATTAAATATTTATTGGATGACTGAATGCATGCATGAATGTTTGCCTAATGGGATTCATACTATAAACCTTCACATCAGATTAATTTGAGCTAAGGGAGAAAATTTGAAAAGGGTCCCTATGCATTTTCAAAATGCTGTGTATTTGCCAAATTACCTTCTCATTTCTTCTCTGGAGTTGCTACAAACCCTATCTCATTCACTAGAAGATACAACAGAGGAACAGAGAAGCTAAGTGACTCTTCCTGGGCCACACAGTTATCCAGTGGAAGCTATCCAAGCTCCTTATGCCCCACCCTAAATCCTGAATCTTCCCAAGGTTCTATGCTAGCCTAGTTCATGGTCAAACATCCAGGAGACATTTATTTAACTCCTTTCAAACTGAAGGGCGTGTCAAGGGAGAAAAGAAAGCCGCTTTGCGCAAGAGGGTGCAATTCCCAAGTACGCCACCAGGTGGAGGCAGAGCACACGCGGCAGACTTCCTCACCTGCTGTTTTCCACCAGGTAATGAACAATTTTGTCCAGTACTTTCTCAAACAAGGCGGTGCGGATCCACAGGTGCTTGATGGCGAGTGGGGATAGGTTGGGCAGTTTCGGCAACTTCCGCACATTCTCCTGGAGGCCCTGGATCTGGTTTCTCCTTCATGACCAATAAAAGAGGGGAACAGATAATTCACAAAAGAAGAAATCCACAGGACAACTATACAAATGGGAAAATGACTACTCGGTCTCTGTAGGAAATGAAGGGATGGCAATTAAACAACAAGAGCTCATACTGCTCCCAGCAAATGGGTCGAGAGTTGGACTAGTCTGCAGTCCCAACCAACAGTGTTTCTTTCTCTCTGCATGCACACCAGCATCTATTATTTTGGGACTTTTTGATAAAAGCTGTTCTCACTGAGGTTAAGTGATATCTCATTGTAGTTTTTGAGAAGGGAATGGGTGAAATCATGCCTAATAAGTAGTGAACACTATCTAGGTGGTGGGCACACTCAAAATCCTGACTGAAGCTGTACAAAAGCAATCCATACAACAACATTTATACCTCTATAGCAGTGGTTCTCAACATTCCTAATTGCTGCGTTGTTACAAATGGAACAAAGGGCTTGCGACCCACAGGTTAAGAATCACTGCCTTATAGTATTCTGTAATTTTTTAAAAAGTTGGAAAAATAATACCTAGAGAGTGTGCAGATGTGGTTAAAAAGACACTTTCATACACTGTTAATGAGCAAGGCAGACTCTGATACTGATCTCTCTTTCCCTCCCTCTCCTGCAAAGGTGTGCTGGCTAAGAACAGACTTGCACTATAGATCCTTCAGTGGCCCCCTATGCCCTTGGGAAGCAAGCTCTTTAACATGACTTGCAGGGCACCCCAGGACCTTGCCCCCATTCACCTCTCCAGCCATCTCCTTACTACCGCCTTCTCTCACTCCATGATCTAGCCAGCTATAGATGTCTGCAGAATCCTGAGGCTTCCAGGCTCTCATAGGAAGCCCCTCCACAGATGCTGCTTCTTCCTGGTTTTCCTCCCCACCTCACTCCCAAGCTCATTCCTTCTCACTCTTTAAGTCTCAGCAAGGGTATCATCTCCCACAGGAAGCCCTCTCAGAGCTGCTCCTTCAGCCTCTGAAGCCTAACTTCCTGCTCACTTTTCTGTCTTCCCTGTGTATTGTGATCCTGAAGGTACAAGGTAGGCAATTCACCTTATTCTTAAATAAAATACTTACTAAGAGTCTACTGTGGGAAAACAAAATTCAGTTGTTCCTTGTATGAATCTCCTTTAGATTCATGCTGTATCTTTCCCTATCATCAAATGACCATAAAGAAATTGCAGAATATAATCACTGCAATACTCACTATGGTTAATGCTTGCTATGTGAGTGTAATTGAAAAGATATCTTGAGTCATAAGTTGTATGTGTGGGACATATGTAAGAAGACATCTCAAGATATGCAAAGGGAACAGGATGTCCAGGTCAGACAGAGTAGGGCATGTGAACTGCAAGGAAGTCACATGCATAGCAGAATAGGGCAAGTGTGTCAGCAGCAACAGTTGCAACCATATCCACAACTAATTAATCACTTGACTAGGCAGAAATAGCTAAGACAGACACCTGTCAGACCAACAAGCAGTAGGTGTCAATGCACGAGTTTCCCATACTAGATATATCAACACAGGAAAACAGTCACCTCTGCATGTCCCGCTGCACAGTGTAACGATTATTCTAATGTTTTCCTTATAACTTTTTCTCTTACACTTCTTTGAGTCTCAATAAATAACACTGGAATCTAGATTAGGGCCACACTGGTGGTAGGGGGGAGTTTGGAAGTGAATTCTCACCTGGTTTGAATGCCCACAGGAAAAACTATGCTGAAGATATACAAATTTAAAAACAAAGCATGAAAGTGCCTGGAGAAAGAGTACATTAACTCAGGCCAAGTAATAAGACTGAGATAATGCAGACTCTCTCGGCTTCTTCAGAAGGCTTTTATTGATTTCCAACAAAGGTGCATATGCAAAAGATAGAGTTGAAGAGAGGAGCTAGTTCTATTCCTGCAGGGGAAGTAAACCAGGTTTCCTAATCTAACTACATATTCAAAGAGTTTAATCCCTTTCTTTTGTTCATTCTCAAAGGCACAGGCCTAGTTCAGCCTGTCTGGTGCCTCTGGGTTCTTTTCATCCGTTTTTTGACAAACCCCCAGGGATTGTCCGTTTCTGAGCTGCTCCCCTGAATACCCCAGGATTGAGGCAAGGTACCGTACTGAGAAGTCAACCTACCTGCCAACACCAACTTCCACAGTGCCTGGGCCCCCAGGATCCTTCAGTTGCAGTACTTCCAAGTAGTCAGGGCTTCACTCTGCTTCATTCCCAAGAGCCTAGAGGCTAAACCTTGCCTCAAGTCTACCATATGGCAAGCCTGGGCCCTTTTCATGTCTCTAGCACAGTGCCTGCCATATAGGTTCAGTGAATATGCTCATGAATGACTGATTGCATAAATGAATTAATGGTTTGCTATCCTAACTTGCTACAGTCATCTCTAATTCCTCCACTAGGAAGTCACTCCAAAGATCTTGGAAGACCTATGGAAATCTATCCCTTTAAAAAGTTATCTGCAAATGCCTGGGAATTTAGCAGATGGACTGGAAGGCACCAGGAGACCAGGTGGCTGAGAAGTCATTCCAAATGGGAGCTGGCAGAGCCAAGCCCTGAGCCCATCATCCAGTTCTGGCCAGTGGCCCTGGGCAGGCAGGGCCTGAAAGGCAAGGAGAGGGCTGTTCAATCTGATGGAATGGAGTGAATACCCACGGTACAGATGGCAAATAGGCCGGTCTTTGCCCTGCCCTTGCCCATGACACATATGGCCAATCGATCCATTCACTGTACTTTTCCCAAAGACACCCAATCACAGCTCCGTAGCACAGTCCTTTGGGCAGCCACCAGCACCAACAGGACTTGAAACCTCTTTGTCAGCCCTGATGGGGTTCCAGGCTGTGCAGTTAAGACTCCAGGGAGATGGCTCTGTGGAAGGTGTTCACATACACACACTCAGGCTGTGAGCCTCCTCCAAACACATACAGCCAGGCACTCTGAGAAGTAAGGGAAGCCACCTCTGCCTTTCGATGGTTGCTTCAATACAAGTTTTGGTTTTTGTTTTTGAGGGTGGGATTTGAGGCAGAGTCTCACTTTGCTGCCTAGGCTAGAGTGCAGTGGCTCAGATCATAGCTCACTGCAGCCCTGAATTCCTAGGTGCAAGAACTTCTTGTGCCTCACCTCCTGAGTAGGTGGGACTATCGGTGCTCACCACCATGCCCAGCTAATATTTTTATTTTTGCAGAGACAGGGTCTCACTATGTTGTCCAGGCTGGTCTCCAGCTCCTGGCCTCAAGAGATCCTCCTGCCTTGGCCTTCTAAAGTGCTGGCATTATAGGCATGAGCCACTGCACCTGGCTCAAAGTTTTTTTACATTTCAAATCAGTGTATTCAAATGTATGACAATATACCTAGCAATACGAGTTTTGACTAGAGGCCCTTGCACCTGGCACATATAGACAGAGACCATACTGATTGTATCACACTCTGGTCGTCTTGCATTTAGAACAGGGATTAGCTCCTCATAGGTACTTTGTTTGTCAGCCATTTACCAGGTGCCAGACACTGTTCCAGATGCTGGGTGTATAATGGAGAAACACAGATGTAGTTCCCTGTTCTCACAGAGTTCAGAGTTAAGTGAGGTAAGCAGACAATCAAGTAAACAGGAAACAAACGAATGAATTGCTAATTACAGATGACATGACAATTGGGAAGAAAACAGGGTGATATAGGAGAGAAGATGGAGTGAGGATGAGGATTGGAATTTACTGAGATAGGGGAATGTTTGGATGATGACCAGGAATCAGCCATGGAAAACCTCAGGCAGGTGGGGTGGGGATGCAGCACATGCAAAGGCCCTAAGGTGAGAAACAGGCTGGCAGGTTTGAGGGGCAGCAAGGAGAGGGCAGGGAGTACTGAAGGTATGGGGAGGAGGGTGTGGACTATTTCTGGGGAGCTGCCCAGTCTGTAGCCCACACCTTATACTCACGTGTTCTCGATAAGCTGCTCCAGGTCCTGGACCTTGCGACTCAGCTCCTCAGCTGGCGGGAAGCTCTTGCCCACTTTCATGAAGAGAGCCGCGATCTTGTTGCTGCGCAGAAAGCCAGCTGCCCGCCGCCGAAGCCCATGTAGGACACAGGCCTCCACAGCAGCTGCAAGGACACGGTGGTCAGCAGGCCCTGCCCTGCCCATGTTCCCCAATGCCCAGCAGGGCCTGGAGCCTCAGACAGAGACCACTTGGAGAGCCAGGATCCCCAGAATCACAAAATTCAGGACAGTTGTCATAAGGAAAAAGGCACATGCCACTCTGCCCTCTGCATCCTTAAAAGTGGGCCGGAGAGCTCATCTCTGCCTCTGCCCAACTATGTGACTGCAGGCAGTGACTTTCTTTTCTCTGAGTCTCTTTGTCATCTGAAACATGGGGATAGTGTGAATATTAACCTCACAAGACTGCTCTTAGGATGGGGGTGAGGAACACTGCATGGAAAGTATGTGGCCCAGAGTGAGTGCTTTAAGAATGTTAGCCTTTATTCTCACCAAAGAGAGGGGGAGTATGGACTATACAACTTTTGAGCTTTATCTGCAATAAGGAATCACATCGTCGTCATCATTTATATTGTGATTATAGTAACAACATTCATGAATCTCATTCAATCTCTGCCATGGCTGGGGAAGAAAGGAAAACTAACCTCATTTTTCATATGTGGACACTGAGGCTCAAAGAGGTAAAATGAATTGCTCAAGGCCACCCAGCCAGTAAGCCAGGCTTCAAAGTTAGGTCTCAGTCTAAGGTGTGCATAACAACTATGTTTCCACAAGGATCTCTGAAGGGAGGATTTAATAGTAACCTTCTCACTTCTGTCTTCCCCCTGGAGGCCCTGCCAAGTTCACCTCAAGGGTGAACCCAAAGCAGGAGACCTGGGCTGTAGCCTGGGCCCTACCACTAACATGCTGTGTGACCTTAGACAAATCACTTGCCCTCTCTGGGTCTCAGTCTTTTCTTCTGAGAAAATGGCCCTGTGCAGGCCATTCTGATGTGCCTGTCTTTCTCCTGGTAATTTCAGCAGCTCTTTTCATCCTCTTACCTTTTGTCTTACACAGCAGACTAGGAGCTCACACTGGGATACAACAGGTGCACAATCAATGTTTATTGAAAGAGCACATGTACAGAATAAGAGCTACTACTTACTGGGCACCTGCTAGGTGTCAGATAACTGTTAAAATTTACCTTCCCTAATTCTTGTAACAAAAACCATGAAGTAAAGAGTTCTATAGAGTAAATTAGCACTCTCCAGGGTCAGAGCAATACTGAGAGTTTTGGTTTCATCACTTATCTTTGTTTATTTTTGAGTTAGCAATTACTTGGTCTTTTTTTTTTGAGACAGAGTCTCACTATGTTGCCCTCCGCAGAGTGCCATGAAGTCACAGCTCACAGCACCCTCAAACTCTTGGGCTTACGCGATTCTCTTGCCTCAGCTTCCCAAGTAGCTGGGACTACAGGCACCCAACACAACGCCCAGCTATTTTTTTTTGTTGTAGTTGTTTAGCTGGCCCGGGCCAGGTTTGAACCTGCCACTCTCAGTGTATGTGGCTGGCACCATAACCACTGTGCTACTGGTGCTGAATCAGCAATTACTTGGTTTTGAATGAACGTCTAAATATTGCCTAATCTGCCCATGGATTTAAAATATTCCAGGTGAGGATTTTTTTTTTATTATTTTTTTATATTTTAAAATTTTTTTTAGTATTTTTTTCAAACTTTTATTTATTTATTTATTTGCCAGTTTTGGCCGGGGCTGGGTTTGAACTCTCCACCTACAGCATATGAGACCAGCGCCCTACCCTTTTGAGCCACAGGTGCTGTCCCAGGTGAGGATTTCTTAAATCACTTAATTTTAATTTGCAATCTCAGTACTTTTCATTCTTGTATACTGAAATATGTTCGTTGTTGGTTCAGGCTCTGTAGACATTGTCTCTTTCTGATAATGGCTCATAATGAACAATAAATAAAGGGAAACTAAAGGAGATTCATTAGGCTTCATTTGGCGCTATCAAATGTCTCCCACCCAAAAACTTTGTGCAAAGTTGGAGATTTATTATCATTAAAAAAAATAATTGTCTACTCCTTTAAGTCTTTAATCGGTAGGTATGTTACCAAGTCCTGACATGGACATGCATATGATTTTATCTCCAAATAAAAATGCCCCGGAGAAAATAGAAAACTGAGAATACAAATGCATACACACATATATATAAACATATCACACTTAAAAATAATATCTTGCCCAAGGTCAGCCAATAAAGAAATGGCAGAGATGGGATACAAACCCACATCTGTCTGGCTGAAAAGGTGGTGAACTGAGATCAGTGGCCTCTCAGGTCACAGAGTGTTCTCAGCATGTTGGGGACCCTATGGGGTGGTGCCCCAGCTATCTGGATGACAGTTGACAGGCTGGCTAAGTGTCCTATCTCAGGCCTCTCCATAGGATCAAGATCGCAGGAAGGGAATTAGAGCATGTCCTTCATTATGAGATACTCTAATTCTTTTTTTTTTTTGGAGTTTTTTTTGGCTGAGGCTGGGTTTGAACCCACCACCTCCAATATATGGGGCTGGTGCCCTACTCCTTGAGCCACAAGTGCCACCTGATACTCTAATTATTAAACAAAAGAGTTTTCAGAGAGAGAGAGAGAAACACTCCCACTGACATGTACACACTGATTATGAGCTAAATCTTGACTTCACAGACATGCCAAAACATGTCTCTAGTCATTGTCAAGGTAAGAACCCAGCAGTTGGGTTATTTCTGGAAACTTGTGGGCTCAGTGGCCCAAGAAAACAAGTCTGAGACACACTTTACGCTGAAGGCCTGCCTCCTTTGCTGGGACAGCTGAGCATGATCCCACAGGTGTGCCAAGGGCTCTTAATTCCCTTGTTCAAAAAGTCTCCATCCACCCTGTCGCTTTACTTAGCAATAGCCATGAGCAGAGAGAGAGAAGGACAGGGAGCCCCCTCCTCAGATTCAAAGCTACTTCTTTCTTGGGGCAAGAGTCAGTGTGAACTGGGCCCTCAGGAAAGGGAAATTAATCAATCCCTCTAGCCTTAACCACAACCACCTGTTCAGGGGATGCAGAAGTCATTTTCAATCGCCCCCCCCCACCCAGACTTTTCTGTATTTCAAAATTCTCCAATGGAATCTCTTTGGGATTCAAAAATAAATTCAGAGTCACTAAGCAAAAAATGATGTGAGAACCATGGCTCAAAGATGCCACTTCCCCAAGGCCGCCCTCAGAGAAAGAAGCCACAGTTCCAGGCCACGGGAGGGCCACAGACTCACCACAGAAGGAGATGATGTGGCTGCTGTCCTCGTGGACAAACTTGCGTGTGACAGCTTCCTCCATGATCTGCTTCACCTGGAAGGCAGAAGCAGAGGGTGATGGGGGAAAGACCTAATGTGACCAGGGTACAGACCCCCTGAAATGGCTGGGTCACTTCCTGTGAGCCTTTCCACCATTTTACTTATTTGTTTAGGCTCTTTGCACAGCTGGCTGTTGCCTCTCTCAAGCATTACACAAAATATCTCCTTCCCTGACTACACTATCCAAGGCAGCCCCCTCCCCAATCTGGCCCCTATTATACTTCCTCTAATTTAGAGGTGTGGTCCCCAACCCCTTGGCCAAGGACCAGTACAGGTACCAGTATGTGGCCTGTGAGGAATCGGGCCACACAGTAGGAGGTGGGTAGTGGACAACTGAGTGGAGCTTCATCTGTGTTTACAGCCATTCCCCATCACCTGCATCACCCCCAAGCTCCGCCTCCTATTGGATCAGCAGCGGCATTAGGTTCTCATAGGAGTGCAAACACTACAGTAAACTGCACATGCGGGATCTAGGCTGCGTAGTCCTTATAAGAATCTAATGCCTGATGATCTGAGGTGCAGCAAGGTGGTGGTGCTGGTTGTGTTGAGACTGTCTAAATGCAGGAAAACAAGTTCAGGAGTCCCACTGATTCTGCATTGTGGTGAGCTGTATAATTATTTCATATATATAATGTATTATGATGTAGTAACAATAGAAATAAAGTACACAACAAATGTAGTACACTTGAATCATCTCAAAACCATCCTCCACCCGCCCTGGTCTGTAGAAATATTGTCTTCCAAGAAACCAGTCCCTGGAATAGAAAGAAACCACCTCAACATGATAAAGGCCATATATTGAAAGTCGACATCTAAAATCAGACTCAATGGTGAAAGACTGAAAGCTTTTTCCTCTAAGTTCAGGAATAAGACAAAGAGGTCTGCTTTTACCTCTTCTGTTTAACATCATACTGGAGTCCTAGCCACAGCAATTAGCCAGGTAAAAGAATAGAAGGCATGTAAGTCTGAAAGGAAGAAATAAAATGATTTCTGTTCAAAATTCACATGAAGTTTATGTAGAAAATTAAACATGCTATGGAAAAACTGATAGAACTAATGAGCAAATTCAGAAGAGTTGCAGGATACAAAATGAACACCTTCAGATAAGTTGTGTTTCTATACACCAGTAAGAAATAATCCAAAAGGAAATTTTCTTTTAAATCCATTTATAATAGTATCAAAAAGAATAAAATACCTAGGAACAAACTTAAGCAAAGAAGCTAAAAAAACACTGAACACTATAAAACATTGCTGAAAGAAATTTTAAAAAGACACACAAAAAATGGAAAAGCATCCCATGTTCATGGATTAGAAGACTTAATATTGGTAAAATGTTAACACTACCAAATGCCAACTTTCCTCATCATTTTAAGAGTGGCCACCTCCTCCACCCAATACTCAACATTCCCCCTTTCTGCTTTCTCTCCAAATTCCTTCCTGCCTCTACCATTTTCTCTGTTTTGCTTACTTACTTTATTCTCTGATTCTCCCATTTAGTGGGCTATGAGACCAAGAATTTTGTCTATGTCACTTGGTACTGCATTCTCAAGACCCAGCGGAGTGCATAGCACACAGCAGGTGCTCAATAACTTTAACTGAATGTCCACTTTTTATGGAAAAGTTTAAAAGGAAGTAATACAGGTAAAGCATTTAGCCACAGTGCCTGGTGTCTGATCAATAATCAGCAGCATTTTCCTAATTCTCCTAAGCAGGAGACACTCCTGCTTCCTGGGCCTGGAGCAGGTCATCTCTGGTCTGTGCACTGCAGTTCCCTGTGCATCATGCATGTTTTATTCATGTAAAATCAAATGAAGAAGCAACAAAATTAACCTTGCAGGGGAAACACCCCCACCAAGGGCAATCTGATGGGATATGGAAAGAAGGGATTTTGCCTGGTGGTGAGGAGGGGGAAAGGGTTACAAGCAGGTTGAATGCAGAGAACAACAACTCCATGTCCTAAGTGTGTCACAACATGCAAACCTCTCTCCTTCCCACCTTGCCTCAATGGGCCATCACAACAACTTCAGGAGAGTACTCTCTCCACTGACAGAAAAGGAAATTGAGACTCTGCAAGCAGGGGACACTCTTCCAAGTCAGCTTAACCAGGAAGTTTCGAGGCCAGGCCTCACACTCAGGGCTTGACTCCAAAGCATAGGAACAAGGGTCAGTAAATCTTTTCTGTAAATATCTAAAGAGTAAATATTTTCTGCTTTGCAGGCCATATGATCTCTGTGTCAACTACTCAACTCTTCTTTTATAGTGTGAAAGCAGCCATAGATAATATGTAAATGAATGGGCATTGCTGTGTCTCAATAAAACTTTATTTTCAAAATCAAGTGTAGGGTCAGATTTGGCCTGCAGGCAATAGTTTACCAACCCTGCTCATAAATGCAGTGCTTGGCTCCAGCAGGCTGGTCTACATTGCAGCTCCAGCCAAGGGAACTGCTCCACTGTTCTGAGTCAAGGTCCAGACTCTCTGCCCAGGTGGTCCACAGTCTGGTATAGGTCTTGGGGTCAGTGCTGACGCAGTTGACAACCCTTCACACAGTGGGTAGCCCTCTTTCAAGCAGGTTGTATCCCTCCTGCCAATATTCTCATGTTCTTTGGAGGTGGCCATCTGCTGTTGCTGTCCAGAGTGGCTATGATACAAAGGCAGGCCACCTGCCTGGGTCCTTCTCCAGGGTGAGGGCAGAGACTGCAAGGCCCCCTCTGAGCCTTCCATAAAGGAAGCCATGAGCTTCCTCAGGACATGTGGCAAATATCAGGCTTTCTCTAAGAGCGTATGGAGGTGGTGGGTGGTAGGAGGTGACAACCTTGGAAAGTTCTAGCTCTGTCACCAACCAGTCTGTGCCCTCAGGCTGGCACCATCCCCAGAACCTCAGTTTATCCTCTGGCCTCAAAGACATGCCCAACTACCACTTGGCATTCCTTTCCCTTGAAATGCCCCTACCACCCTCAGGAATCTGATCCTGGAAAGTGGCACCTTCCCCACTGTCAGGGGCTAAATTGTGTCTCCCCACCTCAAAATTCATATCTTGAAACCTTAACCCCTAGGACCTCAGAATGTGCTCATATTTGGAGATAAGATCTTTTTGGAGGTCAAATGAAGTCATTAGGGTGGGCCCTAATCCATTATGGCTGGCAGGGGGAATAGGGGGGCAGTAGGGGGGATGTGAGCACTGAGCTTCTTGGCTGAGTTCCACTGAGGTGATATGTGAGGTACAGCCATGTACGACCCAGATGTGGTCAGGACTGCCCGTCCTCAGCTGCCAGCCCTTGCCTCAGGTGCCCAGAGAGCCTCCTCCAAGGTCTTGTTCCTTCCCAGAGAGGACCACATCTGATGACGGTTGCTGTGAGGTAAAGGTATTAAGGCACCTTTGCCTTAATATAGGAGAACAGGGACCATCCCAGCTTCCCTCGGAACCCCCCATGGGGCTCACTGAGGCTTCCACTGGAACCACACCGTAGTCAACTTCTCCCTCTGCCATTCCTGCTCGCCTCATACCCACTCAGCCCCACACTGATCCTAAGAAAACTTCCTCCTACACTGCCAGCACTCCGACCTCAGTCTCCTTTAAGGACCGCTAAGTGGCAATGTGGACCCATCTGCACAGCCATTAAGAGAGATGCACTGTAAACCGTGAGAATTGCGAATCTGGCTGGGCAGGAGGGGGAAGGCCAGCCCCACTAATCCAGTACCGTCTAGCTTTCAGTGCAAGGAGTCAGAGGGTCTGCACGATGACAGGGCCAAGGTACAAGCTGTGCAGGACAGCAGAGCTGATCCCTCTGATCCAAGAGATTCAGAATCATCTGATTGAAAATGCAAATACTTGGGCCCCACCCAAGAACTAGGGAATCAGAAACTCTTGGGTGTTTATCTCGCCAACCAGATGATGCTCATGCTTTAGAGAATTTGGCCAGCAGGAAAAGGAGAAAAGGGGAGTGGAGGGTGCATGGGAAGGGGGGGGGGCAGGATACGGAACAAGAGCCGACTCAAGTGTCCCTGAGGAAAGAAGGGACTTAGCAGCCCCAGCTCTTGTCTGGGAGCCTCCCACACCCACCCTCCTTCCCCTAACTCTCCCTCCCACCTCTTTCACGCCTAAGGGAGGCAAAGGTTCCTGGATCCTCCCTGCTGATACCCCTGGGGTACTTCATCCTTCCCTGTGGGCTCCCGGCATTCTTCCCTCTCCCTCCCTCCCCGTTAGTCAACAACCCTTTTATTAAATTCACCTTAATATATTCACTTTGGAGGAACCATCTGTTTCCTATTGGTACCCTGACTGTATACAAGTCCAAATTCCGCAGAGCAAAGAAGGCTGTCTGTTTATAGCTGTGGATCTTGAAACTAAGAGAGGTTAAGCGCTTCTCACAAGGACACAACTGGGAGGTTGGCTGCAGGTAGGAGGGTAGGAGCTGCAAACCTCTTGACTTGGGAATGGATTGGAGTGAAGCAGACATGGAGGTGGGGATGCAATACCAAGGGTGGATGTAGTCCTCAGCCTGCAGGAGGACTTAGCAAGAGAGGACCCCTTCCCTCCTCTGCTAGTTACCAGCTACCAGCTGGGATATCACCCCAGAAATTAATAACAGCCTTATAGCCTGAGGTCAGGAGAGGAAATTAAAAAGCTTGGTGATTAGCAACGGGGGTGGAAGCCTCCCTCTGAAACCCTCTGAAAGCTCTGCAAAAGAGGACATTGTCTGGATGCAGAAAGGAAGAGGACGCTGCCCACCCTTGCCAGCCCCAGGGACAGACCAGACCCTAAGCAGGGAAAGAAGGCCAGGCACGCCTGGAAGGAAGGGCCTAAATCCCTCCACTTGGAGGCTGACAGACCCCAGGGCCTCCGGGGTGATCTGGGGGCAGGGGGGTGGGGGCAATGTGGCATCCTGGCTCATTCAAATCCTATGTGATTTTCTAAACTTTGGCCCAGGAATCACACCTGGTTTGGGAAGCACAGAGGCCGTGATTGTGGCTACATCAGAGTCACACAGACCTGC